GCCTTCCACTGAGCCAATTTGAAGTAACTTTGCAGGAACAATTGGCTGAACTTGAAGTAAAAAGAGAGAACAATATCATCGCGGTGTCTCCAAGCTAGCATCTTCACGATGTCGATACTGCTAAAGACGCTAATCAAGGTAAATATAGATACGATGGTTAGCCAGATGACGCAGAGAAGATCTCGGAAGCCGAAACGCTTGGAGTGTTGGGTAGACTGGGGCATGGTGCGTGGCGACGAGGGTGACACCGGAATCGTGGACAACCAGCCCTCTATGTACATTTTGTCTGGGTTGGGATAGGATTTGGCTTTCTTGCTGTTTTGGCGGGAGTTTGGGTCTTTGAATGGTGACATTTTGAGTGATGAAGAAGTATTAAAGTGTAAGGATAGAAGTGTCGCGAAACGTGATGTTTGGACTATTGATTGCGAAATGCAGTAGTTGATTCAAGCTGAGGAGTTATTTTTATTTTTGGAGGTCGTTTGGCGTGGAATTGGGTTTTATCTTCGAGCCAATACTGGCTGGTGAACTAACAAACATGCTGTTCACCATCTTCCAAGGCCCTTTGACGTGAGCCCTTGTTCTGAACAAGCTCGTTCTTTAAATAAAGAAAGTGTTACGCTGCGAGCAGCCCAGCCCTCTCTGATTGGTCAGGTTGACACTGCACGCTTTAGTTAGCTTGGTAAGGTCAAACGGACCACCACCTTCAATTGAAGGAAACAAAGCTCTTTCAATTAAAGCTAGAATGCTCATTGTAACCAATCTACGCATTGTAAAACAGAAACATATGGGGAACATTGTTTTCAGTTGAGAGCAGACACAATGATGGTCTGCGCTATGGCCCTGATGAAAGACGGTCTTTTTGAGCGGCAGATATCCGCGCTTGTGGAATGGTTCCGCGTTCATTGTGAGAGACTAAAAATAACCCCGCCAGACCATTGATTGAAGTCCAATGTCACAGACAAAGACAAGGGATTTGGTTGATCGATAGAGACCAGTTTTACAACTTGAGGACTACAATGAGTTTAAATTGAGGCTAGCCTATTGGTAAGATGGGAGATAAATAAATGTAGGGTTTAGACATTAATGCACTAGGAGCTTGAAGAGCTACATGCAATAAATCGCAATCCCTACGATATTAGGTTTAATAAACAGTGTCTGGTATATTCACGCAGTCCATAAAGGTTTGTAAGTATTGTTATACAGCCAGATTGTATTAAGGTGTACAACAGTTATGCGTCCTATCTCTCTCCCTGAAAGCAAGATTCCGAGCTTGGCTGCTATAATGTAAGCTATATAAACTTGGCGATGTATATAAAGTTAAGAGTGTGATTCTATACCCAATTCAAGAGATCTATAGTTAAGTTACCTTATTTAACAGCAAGTAATAGCAATGCTTAATAGGTATATCTTTTTTTTAAAAAAGCTACATAAAGTACACCTAACTGGGAGAAGTGCGCTTTAAGCTTGCTTTGCGGTAGGGGCAGTGTCATTTTAATTAACCTAAATTAAATCAATCTAAAATAAGAAAGCGGTCTCTGCTAGCCTTTTGGAGATCGCCATAGCGTATTATACCAGAGATACACTGTTGTCGCGAAGCGATGTATTGGAAAGATCGCTTAATGCAATACTGAGTCATGAGCTCGCTTAAACTGCCTGATCGAGGTTAGACCATGCATTTACGCAGAAAAAAGATACATTGCCTCCAAGACAGTCCACTGCAGGCACGAAAGCTTAAAATTTACTAAGCCCTACAGCGCACTTTAAGCCTGGACAGGCTAGGCAATACCCCTCAGCTCAGCTACTCCGCACCACTCCACAAAACTGCACATTAGCACCACCTATCAATCCATACAGGGTAGTATAGCGAACAAGCCAAAGTTGGACTGCTTGTAGCTGAGAAAAGCTGTGATAAGTTCAATGATAAAAGAAGCTCTAGCCCTGGCACAATCGCTTAATGCCAGATCTTAACCTTGACATATGGATAAAGAACCAGACCGCTGCTTAGAGCGTTCTACAGCCGCCTGAGCTTTCTTTAGGTACAGTGTTACACAAAAGAAGCAACCAAGCACTTTGGAGGCTTATATGGAATCTTGTCGTCCGAAATATAGCTTCTTTAGAGGAGGCCGATTAAGAGATAAGCAGAGAGTTATATATCTTTGTAGCCCTTTCCAGCCGCTTTGTTGAAACTTGATCATTCATTGATGTTATTTGATGTCTGGGTGTATGCCCTTTTTTAATAAGAGTCATGCTTATGCCACTTAATATATCACTGGTTAGATCTTATCTGATCTCGCTATGATTGATTTAGACTTTTGGAGTCATGGAGGGATTATTAGTTTCTTGATATACGGATGCTGATGGATAGCTGCAGGGTAGTCGAGTTAGACTTGGTGGAATTCTGATTGACGAAGATAAAGTACTGCAGTATTGTTTCCCATATAACCCTTGCCACCTAATAAAAACACTATGCAATGCTAACAGCTTCTTACGGCTTAATTAAACCACCAAGCAGTCAAGTCTACTCGTTCAAAGATGCTAACTCGTTTGACTTTGGAGTTCCCTCCTGGTCAAGACGCCTTAATTGCCAGAAAATCTCACAATTTAATATTGGTCTAGTCAACAGGAATCAAGTGTATCAGGCAGACTGGCCTTAATGTATCGCGTGTCGACAATATCTAGGCCATACAATGCCGCGAACCTTGAATTGATGGTGCTGATCAACTCTTCGCAATGTATATTTATTGGATCCGAAACGCGTTGCTAAAGTACTGTCGCGCGTCTTTGTAATCAAGACTGCGAGTGGTGACGAACTGACCGCTTCTTCGTGGTTCTCGCTTGTTGTCCTTAGACACGTATGAGTGCATGAAAGTGGATGTGGGGACGATAATGATTGGAGGCCAAGTGCGCCATGTGGTGATTGTGGGGGGCTTGAGCTTGACACCCGAGATGCCAACGGGCATCAACCTCAAGAATTGTCAGTCTCTGCTTTCTTTCTCAACATAATTCTTTCAACTTATCATTCACAGTCTGCGAGCATGGACAGTTCGCCCCGGCCGCCCCTCCAACGGCGGCACGATCTCGCCGTCGTAAAGCAACAACTCGTGGTCGTCGTCTCCGTCGCATCAACACTCTTCGTGCTATGTCCAGAATGGCTACAGTTCTACAGAAATCTCGCCGTCATTCCGTTTCTGGCTTGGCTCACGGCCAAAGGCTTCGATTTGGTCATCATGCTGAATGATAAATGGGACAATGCGCCAGCCATGGTCAAGTACTTTGTTCCCATCGACTTTCCGCAGATCACACCTCCGTTTGAGAAGATGCAAAATTTGGGGAATAGACAGTTGGCAGTTGTAAGGACAAAGTTTCGACATTTGTCTTCGGAGGTGAGGGCCATGGTTTTGATGGTGGTGAATTGGTTATTGGGGCAGATTAGTGGCGGTGAGTCAGCATGAGCATCAAACCAGAGTCCGAGTTTAGCTTATGCTTCTAGGTCGACCTGGAGTCGAGTCGCCAGTTTCTGAGGAGAAGAAGGCGAAGCCTGCGCCGAAACCTGATGAATGGGTAGCGATTCTCGTCACAACGCCGCTCATTAACGACGACGCCGGCATCGATTTCGGAACGAACACCATTGTCGAAATTGGTGAAGTAATTACCTGGGACCATACACAGACAACATCTCTTCCGGCCATTCTTCCATCGTCCACTTTCCAGGTTCAAATGACACTTTGTCTGGTCCCCAAGAGCATATGGTATTCCCGCAAGACCGTCCTGGAAAAGTTCACAACAGGGCTTTACTGGAGCCACCAGCCAGGGCAATCGGCATGTCAAGGAGAACAATGGGATGAAGATCGGATTCGAAGTATCTCCAAAGTGCAATTCATTGGACATGTGGAGAAGCACAACAATATTGACAAGGTCAACAAATGTAAGTTATGGATGGATCCCTCTAAGCTCCTTGAAATGTTCCTGACCGCCTACATTCAGGCTTCGAGTCCCTTCGTGAAGGATGGAACGACGTCAACATTTACTGGAGTGACATCGACTTTGCTATCGTTCTCGCCTTCCTCCTCGTCGGAACGTCCTCGACCGAAATATGCAAGAAGCTCTTCGATCAATTCTCCAACCTGAGAGTCGAAAAGGCCAGTCGGAACAAGGAACTCAACCGAACGCGCTTAGGTGCTGGTGCAGCCGTCTTGACACTTTTGACGGGAGGACTAGCTGCTCCTATCACGATTCCGATGATGATGGGCGCTGAGATGACGACGTCGACGCATGATCGATACCTATGGAGCGAGAGGACGAAAATGTGTAAAGATCTTTTGGGAAGATATAAGAAACTGGAGGCCATCGTTCAGGTGGAAGAGACAGAGGCTCCAAAGGCTATTGATCCAACGCCATTCTTTTCGCCCAAGACTATGGAATCGAGCTGGTTTGTAGATGATTCTTGGTGATGGGAGGTTTATATTTTTTTCCCAGGCGTTAGGGATGCGGAAGCATAGAGATACAGATACAGATACAGAAAGATTAAGTGCATAGATTATTCAGAAATTTGCTTCAGGTTACCAGGTTAGAGACCCTGATGAAATCAATGTTACTTCAGGCTGAGAGCGAGATGCATTACTGTAAGTGCTGTGACGGTACCAATACATATCAAGCTCATTAGGGCAGTTGTTCAACGTCTAAATTCGCTGAGGGTAAATGTGTGTAGCCATAGTCACGTCACAACTGTTACTCACATCATCGCAATTTGCGACCTGCGACAAACCCAACCTCTATTGAATGTTATGAGATGTATTCTATCAAGTACCAAGACAATTTAAAAGAAAAGACTGAAGGGAAAAAAGGAAATGTAACAAGCAAATCAGTAACCAGCTTAGCCAAGGAGATCCACCACTCTAACAATAAACCCAGTTACAGCCGGCAACCCAACCCAACTTCAACTTTCCTTCCTACATCAACAAACCATTGCCAGTCATTTATTATCTGAGAACCAAAGTGTCCTATGGCACACCACTCATTCTGCGTGCCTTGCTAGGGTTTGAGCGCAGATGAACCATCTTATCAGCGTTGAGGTCAATGAATTCATCTCGCAAGTTGAACTCAGCCCTATCAGCAGCTACAAAAGTTAGCAAGGTCATTATCTCAAGAAAGCATTTGACATACGAGCAGATTGATAGTAAAAAAAGAAGTTTCCGATGTGCTGCTCACGATCAACAGCAACATACTGCATGTCGAGAGGTTCAGCTGTCCTGGTGTAGCTGCAGGATGTTAGCCAAGTTCATATCCCACTAAGAAGAAACGTACGTGGTTGCATGGATTTGGCCGGAGCCATAGCGGTGAAGTGCCGCGTTGTCAACGACGAGAGTCTCATTTCTCTTGTCGTCGCTGAACTCATCGTCGGCCATAATGGCAGAGCTCGTGGTCTCCCTCGCAACTTCAATTGCGACTTGGATACTCCCCAAGGCCTCGATTCTCTGAGGGTCGCTAATACCAGAGCCGTCCTCCGCCTGATAACCTGAGTCTAAGTTAGTCATCTTGTGATACATAAATGTCGTGACAGACATACCAGGGTGTCTGATGTCTTGAAAGAAGGGCTTGTAACACTCGGACGAGCCATCTGGAAACTCGCGGTGACAGTACGAAATGGTGTCAACGTACTCCCTGTTCAGACGAGTCTTGTTGAGAATGATTCGTTTTAGGATGACTCTGTTGTCGAAAGGCTTGCCGTCGACATAGATGGAGATGATGAGGGTGGTTTTGCCCCGGGGGAACTTGAAGACAGGCGAGATTCTGAAGCGAATGGCAAAATGTTTGCCAGCCTGGGACTCAATGTGGCATCTGTTGTGCTCGACGCGTGTATGCCCGGTTGCGTCAATGAGGGGAGGGAAATCCTCAGGCGAAGGTATATGCTCTGTGGCCGGCTTGTTGTCCACAAGAATGGAGATGTTTATGCCTGGGATGTCGGGATGGACTGCCATCGCGGGAAACAGGAGCGAAAGTAAGATGGACGGTGTATTGAGCGAAGAATTTGATCTTAGCTGGAAGAAAAGGTTGGGAAGACAGAAGAGACTCCGTGTCAATGGGTAGGGGAAGGCAAGAAGAGTGAAAGCTGATAGTAGACGAATATCCAAGTGCAACGGTTTCTGGAAAAGGCAGGTTTCTGGAAGGGATGGAAGAACCTTAAGAGAGGGAACGACTGGCTCACGCTCATGGGGTAAAGACAGCAGTTACGTCAGATGCTGTACCCTGGTCCGTTTGGCTTCCCTGCACGGAACATCTCTAGAAGCTTGGGAAACGTGCGTGAGCAGTAGATGGCTTACTATTACCAGTTATCACAGGTTCTTGGCAAAAGCGAATGTATTCATTGGAGGAACGGGTGCTTTGTGGCTTGTTCGCTTGTTTCGGTAACAGTTGAAGAATGCAATTCCATGAGCAAAATGGCCTTGGCATAACCATTGAATGCGAGTGGCTTGTAATTGGACACGGTGAATTGTAGTTTACACAGTCACGTTTGAGCTTATGATTGGCTATCCCAGAGGAAAAGAAGAAGTGGCTTGCAGCAGACGGGCTGTTGCAGGGATATTGCCAGGGTCAGGTTGTCAGGGTCAAAGCACTGATTTGTGAGAATGAAGCGATGTTCACTGTCTTGTTTACGAGATCTTGTCAGGTCTGTAGCTAAACTCAAAGCATTAAGAAAATTCGTGCGCAACTCGGCAGGTGGTGCTGCTAAATCTCATCTGTGGACTGGCATGTTTGAACTTGCTGTTGTTACAGCTACTGCAATCAAATAAGGAAGTATACTCTATTTTAATAAATGCAAGCCACAGAATGAAACGTATTCTCAGAAAGCGTCATGTGAAATAGACTAAGATTCTTTATCAAGCGCGAAAGTACCAGTCAACGTGTTCCTCACGTTCACATCTTGACATACAGTACGCTTGTAGAATGATGTACACCGTATGCTTCTGAAATCTGGTTATCAGCCAATCACACTTAACGAACCACGCAGCAAAGACGGCAGCTGGGTGCAGTCCACAGTGCGATAACAACAGAGCGTCAAAATCGATAGATCAGAAACGGCCGGGCGAAAAGCAGTCAACATATTATGGCTGTCTCGGTTAGCTCAACAAAAGCAACCACAATAGCAAACAGTCCCTAAATCTTCCGCTACGAAAATCATCAGCTGCAGGACCCTCCCTGATGACCAGTCGGTAAAAGAGTGACAGAGTACCTTACACAGACCTTGCCATTGTCAAGAGACACTTTTGGAGGTAACAAATGGGGCCAAATGCGCAGAAAGAAAGAGCTACGTCATCCGAGTGAGCAGCTACTCTCCATAGCAAGTACGGGTAAACTTAAGAAATACGGAGGGGGAAAACTTCGTTCCCGAATGCCGTGGTGGTAAATCTCGAGCGACCGCGTCGCTGGCTTCTTTACATCACTTACTCACATGATCTGAACACAGGTGGATCGTCATGGAACGGGCTAATATTCATCCTGCTACTACGATTTTCTGCTGTTCACTTAATTCATCCCAAACAGTCGATACAAATTGAGAATACCCATGGCTGTACCGGTAATCTAATTGCCATGCTATGCCATTTCTCTTCGTATCTTAGCATTGCTTCCCGAGCGCGACAGTCTCGGTGGCGAGTCTCGGACAAAACCTGCAACTACCATCTTGCTCTGGGATTCTTTGTTCTAAAATGCGACATGGGGTCGTTACCATTTTCCGTCCCACAGCATCGAAGTTCCACGCATCACAGTTTGAAAAACCCTGGCTTCACCACGATAAAATAGCCATACAATCAATTGAATGAATAGCCTTATTTCTCTTCAATTTCTTGAAGTTCAAATCATTCGAAAATAGGGCCACTGTCTTTGCCAAGCGCTGAGTTCTTTGTAACTTCTGCACGCGGCAACTCCGTCAATGACTTTACTAATAGACTCAATCAAGAGCTCTTTGTACCCAGTTGACGAAAATAGCCTGCGTGCCCTGACAATAAGTTGAGCCACAAATCGATAATTTAACTCTTTGTTCCAAGTTACGACATGGCCTTTCAACTTAATCAAACATCATGGATTCTGCTGATTGAAGGTCTAGTCCGGAACTAGGAATTCAATTACTTGAATTCATAAATCGCATCGCTACCCCACCATCCTCAGTCTAATCATCACAAGACTTCAACTGTTCTAGTCATATTAACGAGCCATTTTATAGACTTAGAATCGTTGTACATGTTCTTGTATCCACACCAGCAAAATGTATATTTCTAATCAGCCTATTTCTCCACTCCCTCCGAGCTATGAGACTCCCCATCCCGTCCCAGGAAAACTCAGTAGTTGCACGGCGGAACCTAACATCAATGAGGAGCTCAACACCAATGACGACCCCCCAGCATCGCCACGACGACAGCTCATCAGTCGCTATTGGAAGGCTGTAATAAGCTTGACAATACTTCTCTTCATATTTGCCCCTGCACGTCCTGCCAGTCTAGCTAGGTTGGATGAGGACATCATCCTCCAAATGGCCCTTCGCATGAATAACCTTGCCGTTCCGTGCCCCGGAGACCTGGCAGTGAATATCCAAAACAATCCACCCCCTCATACAAAAACCGTTGCGACGCTCAAGGATTTTGAGAAGCAACCTCAGGAGTATTTACGCCAAGGTCACACACTATACTGCAGTCTGATGAGCCCAGATTCCTCTTGGCCCAATGACTTTCGTTACATCTATGCACTGCCCGAGGATACTGTCAGGTTCATTTTACTCGAAATTAACACTTCTGGGGTTAATCAACCTGTCGTTTCCCCAGTCTTTGAGCGAAGCAGACGAATCTCGCTTGTTGAAAAGGAACGGCGGCGCAGATTGGCGAGGATCATTGAACGAAAGATTGAGGAATCCTTTATTCAGAATGGTCTTGACTCCTTGAAGAAGTAGCGAGTGGGACTGTTTGTTTATCTGACGGCTCTGATTAAGCCAATGTTTTTCTAGATTGGACGAGAATAGGGCAAGAAAATGAGCTTGGAGCGAAAGGGGATACAGAGATAGGAAGAGTGTAAGAAGTTATATATAAAGGGTAATTATAATTCAAGCTTAGCTTCTTGGAAAATTCTGCACCGCCTCTTTGGCTTTTTCTCCATAAAGGAGATAATGGCATAAAATTGAGATAATTAAAATTAGGTTGTGAACGTTTATAATGCTAGAATAGTTGTGAGAGCTTGAGTTGGCATGTTTGATAAAGGCTGGGGATGGTATTTCCGGCCTGGAGTTTCACCGGGGGCGGAGCAAACTTGATGGTGGTCTAGGGCGTGTCCCAGTCGTCAGTGACAGATGTGTGGCGGTTAAAATGTGGCGCAACCAGTACCGAACCACGAAAATAAAGGCGCTGTCCTCCCATTTTATTATTATTAGAGTACTTGATTTAAAGACTTCCCTTGAAAAGGCCGTCCCAGTAACTTCTTGGTTTCGGTCAATTGTCATGGCTCCTTCTCCAGTACCGCTTCGTTAATTGTGCATCGAAACAAAGCGACCTCTGAATCAAAGAGCGCTTTTGTTCATGGAATTGGAAACAAAATCAGGCGTGACTTTTGAATTCTTTCAGTGAACCAAATACACTTCACTATTCGACAATGAGAGTTATGCAAACGACGAAGTGAATGTCCAAGGTTAAAGTACTACCTTTGTGAAGCCTGTGACTTCCATTTACCCGTCTCAAACAAAGGAGATATATTCACACAACTTCAAAGTCTCATGGAAAACATTCTGTCATATACAAAGTACAAATAGCAGGGTCTTGCAACACAATCTCTTCCACTATTACATTACCAACAACATCTCTTGCTCATCTAGAATAAAACGCAATCATGCCATATAACTCTGAAAAGAACACTCGCCTTCGCGCTCGACAGCTACAGCTCCTCTACGTGCTGCACAAAGATATCCCATATCCCTACGCAGATCAGATCACCAGTGAAGACATTGCCCTGGCTAATGCGCTTGAGCCCTGCTGGACGCACAGCCTTGCCTCACCCAAATATGTTCTCACCTATCCTTGGGAGTGGGTTACGAAGAAGGGATCTCTCGCTGCTGTGCTTCGCAGCTTCCGTGTAAAGGCCGAGGAGCTACTTGATGCTCAGCCGCTGCTTGACGTATCGGATATTGAGATGCAATCGGACGTAAACGGTGAAACAGAGATCTGGGATAAAACGAGCTCTGGCGAGATGGTCGAGGAGCAAAGGTGCAACTCCCCCCTAGGTAAGTGAGCTCAACTAAGCCTGGGAATAGATTCTGAATAACCATTTTTGAAACAGTGCTTAGGTCAATTCCAGTCAATGGACTGAGTAGGTTGAGGAAGGGGCTTTAAGCTGGCAAACATGATGAGGTTGCCTTTCATGGCCATGGGATCAGTTGATGTTGAAGAATATCTGTGTATAGCTTCACCTAGAGCTAGCTAAGGATTATTAAATCTAAACTATCTTATCCTTTTTGCCGATAAGTATCACAGGATCATAAAGTAGAGTAAACCTTTCAATGAGGAAATACAGTATAAAGAGGCACACAGCCAAGATAAGTACGAACTGCTGAGTAAACCTTCTGGTGACATATCGCCACAACCTGCATCTCTACGATCTATTGTCATTCCAAAAAAAAAAAAAAAAACGGTCCATTGTACAGCTAAAGACAAAGTAGAGTCCCTGGCGTCAAGCGTCAAGGTAGAAGATGCAAGGAGATGTGACTTGACGAGCGGACTGTAGTCTCTGTGCCCTTCCCCGCATCTGTCAGCCTTGGCCCCCAACTTCCGTCTCTAACCAATCAGTACCTCCGAAGCAAACAAGGATGATATCCCTCATACCAATCCTTCATTCCCAATCCCAACTCCACTCCCCGCACCGCATCAGTCATGCGCCTCGTCAACACCGAAACCGTCCAACTCGAGTTCCTCGCCGACGACAATGTGCCCTACTACGCCATCCTATCTCACACCTGGGAGCAAGAAGAGGTTCTGTTTCAAGACATGGGGCGTGAGAGCGCCAAGTCGAAAAAGGCTACGGTAAGCTCGAGAGCTGTTGTCGCGTCGCACGTGAAAATGGCTTTCAGTATATCTGGGACGATACCTGCTGTATCGATAAGACGAGCAGTGCAGAGTTGAGTGAAGCTATCAATTCGATGTATCGGTACTATCAAGAGGCTAGCATTTGTTATGTGTACCTCGCAGATATTTCTACCGTCTCCGAGATTTCCAATAGTAGATGGTTTACCAGAGGATGGACACTACAAGAGCTCATTGCGCCAAGCTCAATGATCTTCTTCGAAAGAGACTGGCGTGAGTTGGGTACCAAGAAAAGTCTAGTACAGGTTCTCTCACAAAGAACAAACATACCGGAATCTATTCTCTGCGACAGCGAAGAGCTAGAAACAACTAGCATCGCGCAGAGAATGTCGTGGGCAGCCGACAGAGTCACAACACGAAAAGAAGACGGCGCATATTCCCTCATGGGTATTTTTGGTATCAACATGCCGCTCCTCTATGGCGAAGGCGACAAGGCCTTTTATCGTCTCCAAGAAGAGATCATGCGTGTATCAGATGATCACAGCCTCTTCGCTTGGAAAGCCACTGGTGCTCGCGGCGGATTACTCGCCCCGACGCCAGCTGCTTTCAAGCAGTCGGGTGATATTATCCCGTGGAACCCGTTCACGCCGTATAATAGCCCGTTCACGATCACCAATAAGGGGGTGCATATGGAGGCGCCGTTCATTGCGCAGGATACTTCGGGGAGGGGCCTTTGTGTTCTTCATTGTACTAGGATTGAGACGAGGGATAAGTTGATTGCAGTTCATTTGAGAGATATTTATTTGACGATGGAACATTTTGAGAGGTGTAGGACTGATGAGTTGGAGTGGATTGACCTGGACGACTTCAGTCTCACACAGTGCCCCGTGAGGCCCTTGTGTATCAGACTACACTTTCCATCGATCTCTCGGAGAGCAAGACAGAAAGAAGTACACGCTGATACACTATCTGATGCCAGTACAGTTATTGAGCGCAATGGCCTGTCATCACTTTCCGAAGCTGCTAAAGCAGGAGATTCTGGGTCGATCTGGTACCTACTGGCTCAACCCCCGTCTGCAACAAGGGACGACCAGGCTCGCTCAGCAATTTGTCTCGCTGCGCGTGGTGGCCATGAGCGCGTTGTCAGTCAACTGTTGGCAAGAAGAGACACATCTGCTCTCATCGCCGACATTGAAGGCCGAACTGCACTCTCACACGCTGCAGAGTGCGGCCAAGAAGCTATTGTCAGATCCATCTTATCCAGCGCCAGAATCCACCCTGACACAAGGGATGTACACGGACTAACAGCGCTGTGGTACGCGGTTTATCGCAGACAAAGAGACTGCGCAAAGCTACTTCTCCAGAAAGGCTCGGTGTCTGGCAATGTCGGCGGTAGTGGGATGGACCAAACCGCTCTCTGGCACGCTGTGTTCGCTAGCGATCTCGAACTAGCGAAACTCCTCCTACAGAACAAGGCACTCCAATCCAATGGCGGCGAACCAGCTCTCTGCGCAGCATTGTCTAACCAACACCCCGCCATAGCCGAACTCCTCCTCCAACACGGCGTCGACCCCAACGAACGAGATTCCAAGCGACGATCTCCACTGCATATAGCGTGTAGACAGGATAACCACGAGATAGTAGCTCTGCTGATGAGATACGGTGCCAATACCGACATGCTGGACTCCTCGGGTAAGACGGAACTGGCGTTTGCGACGTTGAGGGGTAATGTGGCGATGGTCAAGGTGTTGTTGGAGAATGGGGCGAATCCGAGGGCTAAGTGTGCTAATGGAAAGACGGCTGCGGCATATGCGACGGGGCATGAGATGAAGAGCTTGATTGGGAATCAGAGGTGGTATAAGACGTTGCTTGATAGGACGAGTACCAATCGGTCGGCGGTGTCGTGATGGTACGTCTGTGCGCGTGCAAGGAAGCAGAGGTATACTTAGGATACCGTGTCTGGAATGATGCCTGTATGACCGAGCTATCGTCAATATACCTGGGGGGAAAAGACGACGTCTGTACCTGGTAGCAATAAAGGAGAAACGGCATCTTAAACTGCCCATGGTTACAAATAACTTTGAGTGACTCTGGACCAAAGACTACGCAATCTGGGGATGAAAATATGATACTGAGAGGGATACAAGTAGAAGATAATAGGGACCGATGCTGCTATCGATACCCCTCAAGCCGACTGCAGAAGGGGATCAATTTGGTTGGAAGGCTACAGAATCGGAATGTGCTGTGTCTCATTTCTGACCTTCAAGCCTTGGGCATATATGTATTGCCAGATTGCATGGAAATTGTAAGATCCATGGGAAGGTCCAGCTCGCACAGGACAGTAGTGGGAAACAGGGAAATGCGAGGGCGTGGTAATCTCCGTGGGCTCGACGAGAAATATCGCGCGAACGGGCAAGTACCTGACTCGATCAAGTCCACCTGCGCACCGACTTGGCCCAGGGCCCCAGGAGACTGTGATATCCTCAGTTTGAAGGTTCCTACTTGTTCTCTCAGTACAGAGCCTGGGTGTCGTATTTTTGCTCGTTTCGATTCGGTCCGCTTTGGAGCAATTCGATGTCTCCATATGTTTGTTCGCGGCAACCTGCTCGAGGGTCTTAATCAGCACAGTTGATCAATATCAACGGGAAAGGGCGCTTTGAAAGCGCGTCCCAAGGTAGGTCAAGTCAAAGATATCACTGTGTGAAGTCGCAGTCGAGCGTATTGCCCTCAGCTGCTGCTTCCACGACCTCAGCCTCACCAATGTCCCTAGATCTGTCACTAGCTGAATTGGTGGACTTTATCTTCACCTTAGAAGCGCCATCAAGAGCAGCCAGCATCAAGCGTCCTCCCTCGTCGCTGTTGACTGTGGCATCCCTGCTTTGCACTTCACACTCGCTCTATAACGTGGACATTTCTCCAGCCGCTTCACGTCAAGTGCTGGGCGAGCGAGATTGCTTTACCCACTACAGTACTGGAAGAGCTTGCGGGGAGACTGTCGGCAGAGGGGAGCGTTGGGAATCGACTTGCCTGTCGGTAGACTTGTGGCCAAGACGGCGGTCGTTTCGATCGGCGGGCACGAAGGGGTGGACTGCAGATGAAACTAAAATATTGACGGGTATATACTGGGAGTGTCGCTGTGAAGGTTTGAAATGGCAGAAATGTTGTAGTGAACATGAAAGTGCTATTGTTGCGGAGGGAAAGTAAATGCGTTGCTACGGCATCAAATCTGGGAAACAAGTGACACCCTCAACGTCGAATCCTTCAACGCTGAACGACCATCTAATTTGACGCGACGCGTGCCTCTTCCCTTGACCACAGCAATAGGTAATTTATTGCAAGACGCAGACTGCCCCCCATGGTCATCGACGACTTTTGCTGTAGTGCTGGTGCATTCAAGAGGTTACAAGTATGAAAATAACATTGCACGGCTTCACGTGGCTCTTGTATCTGTCCTCAAACACCTTTATTCATGGAAGGAGCATTTGATTATGGCCTACGACAACACATTTCTACTTCTCATTCCCTTAAAATCGCCCAGTAATCCATCCATGTAACCGGAAAAGCAAGTTCGATATCCTAAATCGCTCCGTCTCTGTGACGGCGATCGCGCTTGTTGACTCATGGCCGCAATTTGATGATTATTCAGGTACCTTGGGAAAATATTAGCAACCAAGTCATCATCGTCCGACAGCACCAAGCAATAACTTCCGTTTGTAGATGAAGATTGTAGGTGTCACTTCGAAGGCTCCTGCGCGTTGGCAGCCTCGACCTTTGCCGCCTGGAATTCCTTCTTTAGGTCATCGGTGATATCGAGCTGGCGTGTAAGCTCGTCTTCCGCCGAGCGCCAGAAGTCGAAGTACTTCTGTAGACGCTCCTCTGCGACAGCGAGCTTCTTTTTGAGCTCATCGATTTCAATAGCCATCTCGCCGTTTTCCTCCTGAAGATGCTCGATGAGCTCGTTTGCATAAAAACTCGACAGACATGACGGTGGTAGTGTGAAGGTCGATTTGTGTGGAAAGATTGTATGTTGGTGTCCGTTGTATGAATAATCTGAAGGGAGAGAGGATCTATTGTGTGGTTGATGCCAGAAGAGAAAAGGTGGAAATTTGGCCGAGGGTTGTGGGGTCTGAGTATTTGGGAATTCTGGCTGGCACTGTCAGAACCAGTCTGGGTACTTTAGCGGGCCTTGACACTGTCAAGACAAGAACTTAGCTTCAGCAGAGCTCTCCCCTGAAGGCAATCCCTGACGCCAATACGACTTCCTGGGTGGTATTCTTTCAGCCGAGGGTTTGTTCGCGCAGAAGAGGATGCAAACGAAGTTAATGCAGTCTACGACAAGGGCTGTGCAACTTGAGGAAAGCCTTATTCAGCCAAATCAACATTTCTTCAAGTTTCGTTACTTTTTGTTCAATCTTTGCTTGATGATATACTTCAGAACCGCCTGTTGCATGGCGCCAGAGGTGGAACACAATAATACCGAGAATGAACAAGGCGGCCGTTTCCTGGCTGAACTGATCTTAAACAGCTGCAGGACAGCTACCCAAGTGGTGAAAAAAGGGTCAGGGTGCCCACTTGGGCCATTACGTTTGCCAACTGTCTCCCCTTTCCTTCTGACAATTGCTAACATGACTGACCTCCGATGACCAAGCAGTGTTCCCCCATCGAGACCCATCCGAGCCGCCGGACGACATTCACCAAAGACCACGAAGATATCATCACGTTTCCTAAATGCAGCACCCTTCTAACAGTTCACGGTACGCACGGAGCCACAGTAACAACGACCTAGAAGTGTTCGAAGAAACTTGACAATGCCCTGAGAGGAGCGAGTATCTAGTACTAGACTCATAAGCAGCACCTCCCGTCAGCGAGTCTACGCAGTATCCCTAAGGTTTTGGGCTCCCGTCCTTGCTTCACTTGCATCAACATACCTTCATGGTCGAGTTGTTCCGCAAATCTTTGCAGAGTTTTCCCGATCCTTGACAAATTCCCACGCTCATCACTCAACGATCAATCTGTCGTCTCTAGTCATCCATACGCATGATGCTACTGTCCGATACCGATTCGCGAAGTAGCCTTCGATCATGACGGCGCTGTGAAAGAACAAGTCTTAATTGTTACACTTCTGAAGTGCGTTGTTGGTGTTTCAAGCCTTGGTCCAAGACTCAGAATCCTAGCAAGAATGAGATGCCTCTTCTCGGCCCAGGACAGGTTCAGGCAAGATGACAACAGATCCAGTAAAATCAAATCTTTACCAGTGCCAGCACCATCTCCATCCAGAATCCTTACCGAAAGATTCCTATTGCAACGTTCGTAGTGTACATTTCAGCGCTTAGGTGTTGAAAGAACTCGTCAAGTGTCAAGCTGCCCAAGGTTGCTGCTTCATAGCAAAGAATGTAGAGGCTCACCATCATTTTTGGGTTGCCAATGCCGGTAGGAGGAAGAGATAACAAGTAATAAACATGAAGACGGATGGAATCGTGGATACGACGCACTGAATCTATAGATGGGTGAGTTGTGTCGACCTGGAAGACTCGACATGTCCATTATAATGAGGTTTTGCCAAAAGTAGAGCTGCAGGACAGAAGCTTACTCATGTATTCATCAGCTAGAAGTTTGAATAGATGATACTTCTCAAGCAACCTGTGACTTTTTGGGAAGGCAGTGTACGCAATTTCGCTGACAGCTGGTCTCGATTGTCGTGCAGTCAGTGTGGTTATATTGGTGAACAGCATTCAACAGTGGGCGGAGTTACAGAGCCCTTTAGTGGATTTACTGGCAGTCGACCTCTGAAGCATCAGGATTGGCTTAGCGCCCGGCGATTGACCAACCATTTGCCATCCTGATTTCTTGGCAGACCTTGCACCTCGATTTTGTAACAGTCAACAGGTAATCCAGGTATCTATCTACAATGCGTCGATCCAATTTCCAGCTTCACCTAATTCAACCCTTTCGATCACCGATATCTTCGTTTTGTCTCTCTGAATGTGTTTTTACAGCCGTCAACTGATCTAAATAGTAAAAAAAATAAAACCCGCTGACTCAATTTAGGATAAGTTCGTCGGGATGGTCGGATCCGGGCTTGTCATTCCGCAATTCGGGGCTGTTCGTGGCGAAACTCTGCTTCACGCCACCTGCATGATCTGCCCTGACTAAAGTCGTTTTGGGTAGCATCTTGATTCCTGTTCCTGAAGCTAAACCGTTTTGTTGAAACAGACCTAATTAGTGTATGAAGTTTATAATAACTACATTTGAGTAAGTCTTTAGAAACACTTGAGGCTCGGGACGAAGCAAATATGCATTAAATTGAGGGTATGATTGGATGGTCCTTCTTGATGTTGCATGTACTTGATCGCCTCACAACGACAGCCACAGGGCGCGCGACACAGACAAGATGTCGCGTGCGAAGCCGCAAGTGGCAATCACCTCACGGATTAGCCTTGCCGTGTTGTTCATGGGGTTAAATACCAGACCACTGACTACTAATTGATTTTGAAGCTGAGGAATTCAACTAGAAGTCTACCCGTGATGATCCTTGCAAACCGACCTCATCATCAGCGGCGCTTATGCCGCATCCGCCGATCTGACCTCGCCCTTCGAACCCCGGATAAAATAAACAGAAAAGCCTGGATCGACCTTCACCCAACCGCCCTCCTTAGGCATGCCCAACCAAACTCCACCCTGACATTTCTTTTGAAATGCACGATCACAATTTCTCCAGTGGATGGTTTGACCGGTACCCTTAATCTCATCAGTCCTCTCTTCTTTCGCGGCTGCGTCAAAGGCTTCCAGGTTAAATGGTTGAACCTCCTGTCAAATTACCATTAGTTTCACTATACACCCATGAGCGCAGAATAGTTCTCACCATAGCCGATTGTCGATGTTCTGCTGGTGCACGTCTGCTCAAGAGGGGTTTTCAAGGTTACATCCCCGCACCTAGGGCGCGTGGCCGATCACGTGATGAATGATTACATGGCCGACTAGGTATCGGGTAACCTTCTGTTGAACTGGAACATGGTGAATCTTTAATCGTCAAACAGCGATAATGTAAGCACCATAGATAAATAGATTCAGGAGTTTGTTTGTCTATTTGAGCATGTCATACGATTAGTCTAGTTTTTCTGTCATAACTGAAGCAGGAGGTTGCCAATCAAGTAAGATTGCCAAAATTCAACGTGCGCTACGGGATAAATCACTTTGGCTCAATCCCCATATAAAAGAAAAACAGTTTTGTTGAGTCATGTAACCAAAGTCTATGGATACGTAGAGATGCCTGCCTCCCTGTCTAAGTAATAACTCGAGTATAATTAAAACCCGGTCGTCCACGAGCCCAAAGCTAAACATATGGCTCGTGATCCCACTCTTCTAATTCCTTTGTATAACAGATCCAGTACTTATCGGGATGCTGCTGCGCTTTGAGCCACATGTCCCGGAGACTCATTCCTTCCCAGCGAGCAGCATAAAACCAGGAGTTAATTGACCAAACAGCCACCTTGACACGACCTTGGTACTTCTCCCCATTAAAGACGGTTTCTTCTTCCGAACTGTCCCAGTTTGCGTCGTATGCCCAGACCCAGCAAGGATCAAGCAGTTCACCTTGTGTACGCTTGCAATTTTCATCGGAAACCAATTCAGTAGGAATGACGATAAAGGTATTCCGCAGAATTCCCGAAGGCAGAAGATCGTCATTCTCTTCTCTGTATTCCTGGAAGTGTCTGTTGCATGCTTAGTAAATAAAGTTCTCACTATAGGCATATTTTAACTTACTTTCGCAAGTCGTCATCTTCTGCCATGCTCTCGTTAGGATTAAACGTAGGCCACTTCTCAGTTTCTAACCGATCCAACGCCAACCAGTTGTCTCGGCCTTGGCAATGGATACTGTGCCAGGTTACTCTATGTGGCAGAGAGTGTTCGTTAATTCCACCCCAGACTGAGTGCCAGTCATCGCCATGCTTCTGTTGGACCTCTCTGGCCATGTAGTAGACAAAACCAAACTGTTGTTGAGCTTCGAGAATCTTCTGTATCCAAGCCGGCGGCGCCGGAGATACCCGCTTCCAGATTCGTTCCAGGGTCTTCTCGTATCCCTGTGGTGCCAAGATGGTTTCCCTCATTCGCTCGTCTTGGCAAAGCTGTAAGAAAGGTTCCATAGATTGCCTGTATTCCCGGTCCACTTGTACTTGTACCTCATCTGAAAAACGTTCGATCGCAGGAATCATCCATTTGGCATTCCTCCGAGCTTTCCTGAGTCTATTACAACGCACAAGCTCTCTGGCCCGGGAGGCAGAGGTTTGGAGGTCTTCTTCTCGAAGACGTTCTTCGTAGATCTCCTGTAGTGCAGCACTGCCTCCATCGACATAATACACGTCGCAATAGACTAGCTTCCAGGCATCTAGGCGTAAAGGCTTGGGGCTTTGATCAAAATTTGAGATGTAACTGACCAAGGTCGAACTCGTTCTTGCGACGCCGTTGGTGATGCGTTCAACCATCCTGCCGTCGTCGTACCAGTAGGTGGTTTGGCCAAGCAGGGCACATTGCAGCGGTGTGCAGGCAATAATCTGGGATGGATCATTCAAGGCCACTTGGACGAGGTCCCGGCCTGCAATCAGCTCCTCCAGCTTCTGGGCCTCCCGCTCTCTTTCGCCGATTACCCTGACCCTGGCGTATTCCTCCGGGGGAAGATGTTGGAGACGTTGACTGCGCTCGGTTGATGAAAGATGCATTAAGCTCCTGTAGAGCTCCAAATTCGGGTCCATTTTGGTGATGAACAGGGCCTTCAGCCGTGCTGTGTTGGTATAGACGAGGCTATGAGTGCGTGAGTGCGTGAAATGTGAGAGATGGAGGGGATTGGATTAGTGGCATGTTTTATTTTAATGGATAAAAACCCCGCTATGTGATGTGGATCAACCAATGCCTACCTTAGGCAAATAGGATACCTGCTTTGATCTTGATCTTCATTCACTCTTCAAGGCCCTTCTTTACATGAGAATAGAGCAAAAACCGGTCATTCGTTGTTCAACCCTATCTCACGATGTGGTTACGATTCTTCTTATTGTTGCTTTACATGCCTTTTTCGGTTCTTGCCGTGGGTCATCATCACTCTCATTTGCATCCTCACCACAAGCACGCCTCCAACAGCTCGTCTCACGACGCGTCGAGCATTGATGCTGCTCGTAAGCTCTTGGCCGCTGGTCAAGCTGCCATGGCCCATGCCAACCGCGCCATCATTGCCAACCCTCGTCCAAACCGGTTGGAAGTGCTCAACTCTACAGAAATTAGAAAGACTGAGAAGGCACCTCCACCGTTGGACTATCGCAACAGCACTTCAAAGTCACTCAATGCTAGAGATTCAGGAAATGGAACATCCAAAGATCTTCGCTATTCTGTTCCAGAGGAACTCATCAAAGCTGCCCGCTTTCTTTCGGAGAACTGGAAGCCATCTGCTAACGACCTCGATGGTGGCTACGCGGCTGACGTTCAACACTTGAAGGACACCTTCTTGTACAACAACAATGACACCAACATGATGCCCCCCATGCTTCAGTACGACTCAGGCTTGATCAAGCCTGTCCTCGAGCCGCCGTCTGCCTTTCGATACAGTGAAAATGAGACTGATGTACCTGAACATGTAGTTGACAAGGACAAGAACCTACACAAGAAAGCCAGTTCAGACTGGTGGATGGCTACTATCTCTCAGAGAGGTTCCAGTCCGTTTGCTCCGTCTGGATATCAAGTCTGGCGCGATGTCAAAGACTTTGGCGCCAAAGGCAAGTGGACCTCGAGATAGATCGAGTCTCGAAGCTGTGAGAATCTTTCTAACGGCGACATAGGCGACGGAATTGCTGATGATACAGATGCAATCAACAAGGCCATCTCCAGTGGTGGCCGATGTGGCGGGGGCAAGTGCACGGGAAGCACCATCTACCCGGCAACCGTATACTTCCCTCCAGGTACATACAAAGTCAGTTCTTCTATCATTCAGTACTACAACACGGAAATTATTGGCAATGTAAGTTATATCCTGTGCCTGTGCCCTCTCGTTACCGACCTATCTCACAAGTACAGCCACTTGATCTTCCTACCATTATCGCGGCACCAAGTTTCGTCGGTCTCGGTGTTATCACTTCCAACGTAAGTACTATGGACAGTTTTATGGAATGCGTGGATCTAACTCAATAACTCAGGTTTATACAGGAGAGACCTCCGAATGGTAATATTTCCTAAAGGCGACAACGTCACAAGCTAACATGGATCTCTAGGTACCTGAATCAGAACAACTTTCTTCGGAGTGTCCGCAACTTCATCATTGATGTCCGCCCAACACCTGCCAACGCGCAAGTCTGTGCGATTCACTGGCAAGTTGCGCAAGGTACTTCACTCAAAAACATCCACTTTTACATGACGAAGTTCAAGGATGACCCCAAGACAACGCAGCAGGTCAGTGCTGCAATGAAGCTTCAGCGATCGCAATTTGCTGACGGTAACTGCAGGGCATCTACATGGAGAACGGTAGCGGGGGCTTCCTTTCCGACTTATACTTTGTCGGAGGAAAGTTTGGGTGAGCTGATTAAACCAATCTACATGAGTTTGACCCCTCTTTACTAACATTTGGATTCTTAGAGCGTACATGGGCAATCAACAGTTCACAGCCAGTGGTCTTTACTTCGAAGAGGCCGAGACGGCTATTCAGATCCATTGGGATTGGGGATGGACCATGCAGAACATTGTCGTTGACAACTGCAACACTGGTCTCACCATTGTTGGCGGCGCAGGAGGGGTAAGCTCTCTTGACTATGACCTCGCTTACAGATAGACACTAATAATCTAGCCTATGAGTACTGGTCAGGGAATCGGCTCTCTTCACTTGACCGACCTACGCTTCCATTACGTCAAAGTCGCAGTCTCAACCTCTGTCATGTCCGACAACTCCACCGCTTTGCTACTCAGTAATTCGGGCTTCTACAACGTCGACACTATCGTCCAAGACACTTTCAAGAACCAAGTTCTTCTTCGGGGCGGTAAAGGAACTGTGACTGTCGACACTTGGGGTTTTGGCAGAGTCACCAGCGCCAACGGTACGACCGCCTTCCACAATGGCGCCAATCTCGACAGCCCAGTGAGAAACGACTCTCTCGTCACTGGCGGACGAAAGCAGTTCTTCACTCGGCGCCGCCCAAAGTATGACGACCTAGGCTTCAGTCAGATCCTCGATGCCAAGGCGTACGGTGCCAAGGGTGATGGCAAGACTGATGACACAGCTGTCCTGAAACACCTCTTTTCGGCTGCCGCCAACATGTCTGCGATTGTATATGTTCCATTTGGTGTATATATCATCACAGACACTGTTGAAATTCCCGTTGGTTCGCGGGTTATCGGGCAGGCTTGGCCCCAGATCATGGCTACTGGCTCCAAGTTTGCCGACGCCCTCAAGCCTCGTGTCGCTGTTCGTGTAGGCCTTCCGGGCCAGGTTGGCGTTGTCGAGATCCAAAACATGATGATGACGGTCAAGGGAGCTACGGCGGGTGCCATCATGATGGAGTGGAATGTACACGAGTCTGGCCAAGGCTCGGCAGGTCTATGGGGTTCGTTTCCTTTCCCATAAAGAAGTTCTTGAATATCCCGGCTAACATTCTGTTCTAGATACCCACTTCAGAGTTGGAGGCGCCGCGGGAACAGATCTCACAGTCAAGGACTGCCCCAAGCTATCTGGCAAGATCAATCCAAACTGTGTCGCAGCGTCTCTTATGCTTCACCTGACCCCCGACTCTTCTGGTTACTTCGAGAACGTCTGGATGTGGACAGCAGATCATAACTTTGATACTGCCGACCAAACCCAAGTGGACATTTACGTTGGTCGAGGGATGCTCATCGAGAGCAAGGGTCCAACATGGCTCTGGGGTACATCAGTCGAACACTGCATACTATACCAATACCAACTATCTAGTGCTCGGAATGTTGTTATGGGCCTTATTCAGACCGAAACTCCCTACTTTCAGTCTTTTCCAGAAGCTCCAGCGCCTTTCAAACCAGGCGCTTTCCCTAACGATCCTGAGTTCCACAACTGTACCAAGACCTCCAAGTCTTGTGCTATGGCCTGGGCTCTACGTATCATTGACTCGTCGGCAGTCCACGTTTTGAGTGCTGGTCTTTACTCCTTCTTCAACCGTTACGACCAGACATGTCTCAACTCTGGGAGGCACGACTGCCAGGACAAGATCTTCTATACGGAGCAGAGCTATGATGTCTGGGTTCAGAATCTCGTCACGCTCGGCAGTATCGAGATGGTCAGTCCCCTTAACGGAGTTCCCACGCTGGGCAAGCCAAACAGAAACGGGTTCGCTTCTTCGATTCTGGCCTGGCTTGGAGGTTCCAAGAATATCACCGGCCAGCGCACCTTTGAAGGCTACAGGATCCATACTGAGAAGACGCCTGACATTGACCGTTTCCCTGAGGCCTGTCAGAATGCTCTTACATCTCTTATACGCTGTGACAACTATACAGAGGAGTGGACAACGGCTTCATACCACGGAGTTCTCCCTAGGGAGGTTGACGTCGAGTCTGTCTGCGACAAGGGCTGTGCACAGGCTATCTCAGATTGGCGATCAGCCGTCAATACCTACTGCGGTAATGCGACGTGGCATAATGGTGTTGCTGCTGGTGTCTTGGGGTCTTTCGTTTCACAAGGTATCAACGAGACATGTCAAACAGACAAGACTGGAAAATACTGCAATGGTAAGCAACTTGAAAATCTCAATCCATCTGTTCCTATTCTAACGTCTATTCAGATATCATCAACAAGTTCACTGTTGTCAACAGTATCGACAAGATGCCAACCAACGAACTCTGTTCCGACTGCTACGTCGGTCGACTCAAGATGATGCAGGCTAGTCCCTTCTCGTATTACAACCGAAATTCTTTCTTCGAGAGTGCTCTGAAGCAAGCAGTCAAGCGTTGCTCGCTGTCGAATCAACCCACCGCCGCCAAGGATTCGCCTTTCCCCCCAGAGCCTTCCGAACCCGCCTTCTGTCTCTCTGAAGTCACGTACACCACCAAGGCTGGCGATACCTGCGACTCTTTAGCCACTAAGTACAGCGTCTCTTCAGCGGCATTATTCATGGGTAACCCCGGTATTATCAACTGCACCAACATCGTCGAAGGAGTTAATCTCTGTCTACCGCTCCAGTGCAAGACATTTACGCTCGAGAAGGACGACAGCTGCATGTCTGTCGCCGCAGTCACAGGACTTGATCAGGGAGACATTCGCTCTTTGAACCCTTGGGTCCATCCACTTTGCAACAATCTTCAGGACGGCACCGAGACTCTCGGTCGAGTCATTTACATTACACCGCCTGGTGGCAAGTACGACCACGACGTGAACACCACCAACTCAGACCCCGCATACTCTGAGTATGCCGACAAGGCTATTTCACCACCCAATGGAGCGACTCTGGCTGATAAGACCATCAAAGACTGTGGCCGATGGTATACCGTTCAAAAGGGAGATAACTGCGCTGTAATTCTGGTCCAGTATCACATCAGTCTTCCCCTCTTTATACAAGCCAACCCTTCAGTTTCGGAGGGTACTTGTACCACCGATCTTGTCCCAGGCCGAACTTACTGTGTCGGTCCAACCAAGGAAGCTTTCGCGGTCAAGCCTCAGCCCGTTCCTCCTTTCCATCGCTTCGGATGCTTTGCCCGTGAGGCAGATACTAAGAATCGCACTGTCTTGACTCTCACCAAAGCCGAACACGTCAAGCCCATGTCAATCACAGCTTGCCAATCCTTCTGTTTACAGCGGGGATGGACGGTTTGGGGAATACAGAACGGCGACTCATGTTTCTGTGACAATCAACTGCGTATGGATAGTCAGATCATTGACGATTCCAAGTGCAACATTCACTGTAACGGTAACACTACAAACGTCTGCGGCGGTAAGGATGCTATTGAAGTATTTGGGGATCAGGATATGTTGCGTGTTGAGTACGCTAGTCTAGGCTGCTACTCGTGGAGTAAGCAAGCCATACGTGGTACTACAGGTGGCGACACTATAGAGCCTCCCGATGAGATGTCTGTCGATGCGTGCGCAAGTCTGTGCACTGTGACCAAGAAATCCGACTTCTTTGCTCTCTGGGAGGGCAAACTCTGCACTTGCGGAAGGGAAATGACACCAGGAGCTAAGACGACTAGTATGGATGAATGCAATGTAGCTTGTAGCGGTCAGCTTGGAGACATCTGTGGTGGAAAAGGAGTGGCAGAGGTCTTTACAACCAAGACCAAGAATATCATAGCTAGCTAAGAACACTAACCGCTCCTGTTTCTTACCGCTTGGCTATTGATGTTTTCCCTCGTATTTGTTTTGATATATCTGAAATGAGGCTTGGCTGTTATGAATATAATCGGAACAGGCTCTTAGTAGTGAACCCTTGTCGTAACTCTTGACGCTTTAGAGATAAAATGAGACCTATCTTCATCTGAATGTATCGCAGAGAGAATCCTCGACCTCGAAGTCGCACAGCCCAGACGATATGATGGAGGAATTAAGTTGGTCGTTACAGTTAGGACGTGGTCTCGAAAGAGGAGGAGTTAGCCAACCGCAACGCGCCCAATCAAGACGGAGTGTTCTATCAACACTATTTCCCCAGAAGCTTTAACCAACGGAGGCAAGGGAAAGACCTTGCTCAAAGCCGATGATAACGATGGCAAGCTCTTTGTGGACAATGATGACGACAACAACGGCTCGTCCAAAGTAGATGACCATGACGCTAAAGTTGGTGAGGACTGGGCCTGTAGGTAACCCAAGCCCACAGTCGGCTGCTGTGACCTCATGCTTGCATTGGCATTAAGCACATATAGCTCAGTATGTCATAGAGCTTCAAATAATCCGTGACTCCATCGAATTCTCCATGGACGTGAAGGCAGCACTCAGGACACCGAACACCGCCCTTACACAAGGCCTACTCACATTCTTGAGACTCTTGAGGTTGAAATTGCGTTGTTCAATAAAATCTCTGTATTATCTAGTTAATGCTTGCATCACTCTTTTATCTTATCTTATTTCTGAATCGTGATCAACTGTTGACAACAATCTCTTGCCCTCGATGCTGCCATATGACCTATCATCATATCAGCCATACGGCTCATGATCCCACTCCTCCAGGTCCTTTGAATGGCAAATCCACAAATTGCCCTTATGTTTCTGCGCCTTGAGCCACATATCCCGAAGACTCACGCCCTCACCCTCCCAACGCGCCGCATAGAACCAAGCCTCGAGTGCAGTGATAGGTACTTTAATCCGGCCTTGGTATTTCTCGCCGTTACATACAATTTCTTGCGAGTCGCTATCCCAATCTGCATCATATGCCCAGACCCAACTGGGTTCCAAATCCTCATCGTCGGGATCATCAGGGATTATCTCAATTGGAACGACGATGAATGTATTCTGTAGGATCCCAGGAGATGAGAGAGATTTCCTGTGCTCACGGAAATGTCTGTAAAGTGAATTAGTACGATATACCGTTCTACTGCTCTACGCCACTTACTTGCGAAAAGCATCTTCTTCGATCAAGCCTTCACAGGGAGGTGGAGTAGCCCAATCTTCTGTTTTCAACGCCATGAACTCATCTCGCTTCCCTTGGCAATGAATACTCGATCAAGATTGCTGAGGCATATCTATGATCATGTTCCACGTGTCCTCCCATGTAGGGCCATACTTCTCTTCGACTCCTTGTGATTTGTAATAGGTGAATCCCCATGGTTGTTGGGCGTCCAGGATGTGCTGAATCCAGGTTGGTGGCGGGTGGGATACCTGCTTCCATATCTCGTGTAAAGTGTCGCTAAAGCTGTCCTCAATATGAGACAATTCCTCGTCAGAGAGTTCCTCGAGCGCAGGAATCATCCACTTTGCATTCCTACGAGCCAGTTTCATCATATAGTGTCTGGCAACCCCTCTAGCCTGCTCACTCCGGGTGTGCAGCTCTTCTTCTTGAAGCCTTGATGTGTACACTTGATACAGCGTCGTATTGTTGTCGTCAATGTAGAACAAGTCGCAATAGACCAAGATCCAAGCCTCTTTAGTAATAGCCAGATAAGTATTGTTATCAAAGCTTGCAACACTGCTGATCAAAGACTCGCCACTTCTCCTCAGACCTTTCGTAATTCGCCGCACCATATCGTTCTCATCATCAGGGTAGCAAGCCCGGCCAAGCAGGGCCTTTTGAAGAGGCGGGTTCTCCTGAATTGTTACAGGGTCGGTAAGAGCCAGCGTTACAAGATCCCGACCAGCGACCGCTTCCGTAAGCCGTTGTGTCCATTGCTCCTTTCCAACCAGAGTCTTGACTCTGATTAACTCCTCTTTGGGAAGATGTTGCATGCGCTGGCGGCGATCCTTGGGCCCAAGATTTAGTATACTCTTGTAAAGGTCGAGGTTTGGGTCCATCATTGCGGCCACGTTGAGGCGTGAATGGCAAGTTAAAACGATGAAGAATGATGAAGCGATTCACGCTGCATTTTCTTCTTCTCTGAGTTTGGCCTCAGGACAGGGTAAGCTTAGCCTCGGCTCCACGTAGTGGGGCAATGTCAACTGAACAAAAAGTCTGTAATTGATCCCCTCACCTTTCACTACCTGATCGCACCTAGAGAAACACAACTACTACCTACCATACTTATGGATACTAACTTGGAACTGTATAAGAGCCTGCTCGACCTCGATCCTGTTGAGCGTCATGAACGTTTACTCCATCTTCCTCGATCTGAACGTGTCAGGGTCGCGAGTATTGTTCAGCGCGAAAAACTGAATCAGAGGCTACAAGAGAAGTTAGCGGGTAAGGACCTTATTTGGATGGCACTGAACAACCCCTCAGAGTTTCGTGGCAATGTCCTCTTGCAAAACGCGCTACTTGGCAGAACTTCCTTTTATCCTGATGAGACCAAAATGTTACAGCGCATCGTGGGCGCACAGTACAGTGGAGAGGGTTTATTTGACAAAATCGCGAACTTTGACCAAGAATATTACGTCACCCTGCCAATCGATGCGTGGAAGCTAGTCTACTGTGACTTGTACTATATTGACGGGGCCAATAGTTGCTCACTGCAAGACATTTATGAGAGCCGTCTTCCGGAAGAGGAGCTCCAAACTCCTGCGGCACGAGCTAGAGAGAATATACGCCGTGACGTGATCAAGGTGGCACGAAGGAATGCCAAATGGGTGCTCTCAGAACTTGATCGGCTTTCGGACGAAGAAAAAACACAACCCCTTGAGGATTTTGGGGAAATGGTTCGTGCCATATGGAAGCGAGTGTCCCATGTGCCACCAGCTTGGATACAAGAGATCCTTCGGGCTCAGCCCTGGGGATTTGTCTACTACAAAGCCAAAGAAGTCAAAGAGGCATATGATCCTAGGTGGGATTCACTCTTGGATATGGTCAACAAAAGCCCGATGCCTTCCTTAGATAGGGACGCGAGAGAAGCGACCTACTTCAGTATCCATTGCCAAGGAAAGCGCAGTGAACTGGCGGCCCTGCACACTGAGGTATGGGCTACCGTACCTTCGAAGGGAGGCTTGGCTGAGGATGATGGCTTCCGACAGTGAGTTGCAGCACCTCGTTGATATCTTGGATACGCGCTGATAGTCCAGCAGACACTTCCAAACATATAGGTGGTCTCTCTCGTCCCTGGGTATTTTGCAAAACACATTCATTGTAATCCCCATTGGATTGATCTCCAAGTCTGAATACGAAGAGCTTCATCCATATTGGGTCTGGGCATACGATGCAGACTGGGATAGCTCTACCGAAGAGACAGTCTCCAGTAGCGGCGAAAAGTACCAAGGCCGAGTTAAGGTATCCGTCTATTCCCTGAATGCGTGGTTCTATGCTGCGCGCTGGGAGGGCATAAGCCTTCGAGATATGTGGCTTAAGGCACAAACACTCGAGGATGAGATATAGATATGCCATACAATGGAGATGGATCAGTGGAATCATGAACCGTATGTATGAAACATGAAGCATGGTCTAAACCCATCGATAGCAGCAGGACCTGGTAGCCTATGCTAAGTATGGGCTTACTATAATATACTCCAGCTGGAATCAAGACGACGCGATTGGGTTTTTGCGTCACAAGCAAAGCATCTACATTACGTATGAGAAGATATAAACTTTATATTGCATGCTGAATCATTATCGTAAGGACTGGCACAGATGAGTGACAGTCATGAACCATGCCATTCACAAAGTTCGTGGGTCGTCACGTATATAATCAGCTGCCGAAAAGGACTCAAACACTTGCACTCTTGAGGAAATAAAACAAACTACGGATCAAGGGCTCGAGCTTTCTCACCCATAGCAAACTGTCTAACACGGTTCAAATACAGCAGAAAGTCAAACACCTCACCGGAACGACTAACTGAGCTTCGCATTGTTACAATGGCCCCTTGCCCAAGGGAATCATGCAAATGAACTTAGTGAATTGCCTCCTAAGCTTTGTCTATGGCAGAGCTCCAAGGCGGATATGTATCCTGTTGTTGACTTGTAGCTGATGCACTCACTACTATTTTACTTCACTAAACATTAACTCGGTCAATTTTGGCATAACATGATATGCATGCAAATTACTATTTCCTATCAAAAGTACTACTACACATATCGCCGCTTCGCTCCGAACCATTATCAAAAGGCCACAATGACGCGCATTGCATGAGATGGCGGAGCTATGGGCGTGGGGGAGAATGTGTAGTAATGCAGACTGAGTGGTGATATAAACGGATGCATTACTCATGTCTGTAGATCGGTCAGTTTGGGCACGTATTTGACCTCTGCGATGACGGACTCACAGCTGCTCTATACAGAATGTTTTTCGTCGCTCTGTCGCATTCGTAATGCCTGACTGTGTGTCTGTCGGGATTCGAATGGTTCGTAGGTAGCACCGGCGGGTGTATTGGCAGTTGTCCAGTTGTCCAGACAGCTGTGTTAGAATACCAACCAAAGAGTCACCATCGAGGTTTTCCTCTTATTAGCTTTATGCTGTAGCAATTAGTCAGACATCTTAGTATAATGTCTAAGTTGTGAGCTTGAAGTGTTATTTGCCGCTGAGACTTATGGCTGAGAGCTTAATCCAGCCGAGAGAACCTAGTTAGAATACCAAGGTCAATCACGCTGAATTCACCGCTCCATAAGCCATTATCTATCACCCATGATCCAGCGGCATATAGCAGCATTCCAGGCCTTGGCACTATCTGTCTCCTCCTCGGGTTCCATGTTATCGCCCTTGCTTCTCTCCTCGTGGTGTCTCCTCTGGCGCCCGTGTCTTAAGATCAGCGAGCAATTGTCCTGCGACTCGCTCTGAGAAGGTCGCATGCGGTTCGAATGGGACCTGGATGTGCTGGATCGCTGGCCAGACAAGATTGTCCATGTCTTCGGTCGGGTTGTCGAGACCGTGGAGGATTTTCGAGGGGATGTCGGCTCGGAAGACGTGCGCGTGCGTCTTGTCAGAGGCTTTTGTTACGAATAATCGGGCCTGGAAGATACTTGTCAGTAGAAAGAGTAACAGGGAACTGGGGTCTGGCGTACAAAATAGGCTTCTGTCATGCTTTCCCGCCTCTTCCATTGCAGTTGAGCCAGCGAGAGTAGAACGCAAACCAAGTATGGGTCTTCAAACCACAGCGCCGGAGTCAGCTTTCGCAATTTGCGCTGGTAGAGTCTCTCAACGGGAAGATTGGAGGCGCCAGGAACGGGATGACTTTTGGGCACTCGGGCTTGTTCTCGCTGCTTGATAAGTACATCGTAATGAAAACACCCAATAACGGGCTTCTGCTCAAATTTGTGTACGTCGTCCGATTCGAAAACCTTGCATGTGGGCATATGAAGCCAGAGTCCGTTATAGAAGAAGGGAGTTCGACGTAGGCAGGAGATCACGCCATAAGGATGCATCAGCTGCGCGAAGGAGGCGAACTTAGTGTGGGCATATTGGACATTCAAAATCGAGTGGATAAGATCCTGTGTGAGGTCTGGTCCACCGTGGCTGGCGAACGGAGGAGCAGGCGGCAGTGGGAATGGCGGAGGGGCACTGGAGGAGTCGAGGTGCTTGAAATGGCAGTGCAATACTTGAAGGTGCTTTGAGGTCCAGAAAATAGGTTGAACAAAGAAGCGCGGATTCTCGACGCATAGTCTATACAGAGACTTTGTTATCGGTGCCTGTTGTTCCATCGCGCCCGCGTCTATCACAAGAAAGCAGAATAAATGTTGTTGGCGATGATGTTTGTTTTTGGCGATCACCCTCACGCAAGAGCAGCGCGCAGCCACTTATTTAAACGCATTTAGAGTTAGTTATCAGGATACCAAGTTCTTCGACTGAAAGCAAGATATTAGGCAACAATGAGGGCGATGGCGATGTGTTGATTGTTGCTGTTTGCCTTTGTGTCTTGGGGCTGAAGCCTCCTTTAAACTCTCAACCATATCACAGCCACTGAGCATCGCGCGTTGTGAATTCGGCGGAGGCGGGGCGGAAATAACTTTCTCCACTGGCGGGAGCCATGGAATGAGGACGGTCAACTCAGTTGCGAGGTGTAGCTAGACCGTCAGATCCGTCGCTGTTCTGGTTCCTTCAAAATGACACGATTGACGATGGCGGTCTGACTTTCAAGTCAGACAAGCGAAAGGATGGAATTATGCAGCCGGAATTTACAGTGGCGCTACTGGAGGCAAAGAAGTGCCTTTCAGTTGAAGAGAATTTTCCTGTAGTGTTAGATGATTGGCTTGGCCGTATGTCTTGGATGAAGAGATGGTCTAAACTTAGGATCGGGTGTTGGACTAAATTCATCAAAGAGCACTCTAAGCTTAGGATACTTTACCTAAGTCTCTTCGTCCCTTAGTATCAATATTTCGCGTTTTCTCGTGGCCCACGAATGGTATTGGAATACAGACACAAACAATTGGCGTTCCTGGTGAAGCACGCAATTTGTAAGTACATGACAGTTGATGCTCGGGAAATGGCCTACCTTTTGTTGTCCAAAAGGCCAAGAAGAAAGAAAGAAAAATGAAGATGAAGAAACGAAGCGAGGGATAACAAGAGAAAAATTCTGATTTCTGATTGTAGACCAAAATGTAGTGTTTGTGTTTATAGGGTCCCCACGGTGCAGCGTGAATAGATGTGAATAAGCGTCTGGGCGCTTAAGCTTGGCAATGACAGCCTGATGCCGATAAGATAAGCGAGGTGGGTTTCCCGTCGATCTACAGGGTAGCCAACTGGACTAAAACATCATGAACAAGCCGCTTTGATCAGGTCAAGGAGTAGCACGACCGGCACTATTTGACCTTGTCCACCTCAGCGAGTGCCTTGAGTTCCATATAATTTCAGTCCTTACAGCAAAGCTTGAGGCACCCATCAGCTTCTGCTATCGGCAAGGACCATACATTCATAAGCAATCAAAAGAATATCTCGCTTGGGGTCCCATCGGAGCAATGCGGAACAAGGCTTCGAAATTCACGACGGGCAAGTGACTCTGAGATCCGATGCGGTAATCGTGCATTGATGAGTCTGGATATCAAGCTGGCACTACCCACGACCAGGAAATGTCTTACAGTTTATGATAATAGCTTTGCATTACCAAAAAACTGTCTCTCGCCATGATTTTTTATTCGCTAGTCTCTATTCAACACGTGCTCCAGATCACATAATTCTCAATTAAGGCTCTAAGATGACAAGAAACCCAATTTTCTCCCTATTTCCCTTGCAAGACCCTGCTTTTCATCCATGACTTGAACAATCACTTGAGATCACAGATAAAAGAAGCCAAACTAGATATTAAGTCCATAAAACATGCCATCACCAGTAAATATATATCCATCAATTCAAAAATGAGGCAATAAGGGTAACTCAAACATTCTCTCAGAAAAAAAAAAAGGCCACGTGTTGCATCCATGACATCAGACCTGTTATTGATGTCAAACGAAACATGTCTGGTTAGTAGTTGCAGAGCAGATCTCTTGACCAGCGCAACTCAACATATTTCTATCCGTAGCTCAATACTCTGCCAGAAAAAGACTCCAAATACGATCATCCGAAGCGGGCTCAACAGCGCGTGGAGGTTTGATCTCCTAATGACAAGTTTCCTGGACATGATTGGTGGACGTCCCCGATGTTTCAGATACTGCCGGTTATCCGAACGCAAACATCGAACAAGCCGCATTATCGGCCTGTCAAACATCTTAGCGTGGTTCGGTAAAGTAGATTTCAGCGAACCTGAAACGGCCCACGTAATGTTAGCGGCGAAATAAGCTTTGCTGTCTCTGTAAGCGATGATTGATTTAGATACGGACTGGAAAATGGGCAGACATCGTAACTCGGAGTGGATAAAGGGAACTTCCATCTGTGTCTAGTATCACGTTCTTGGGACTTGGGTAACACAAAGAGTAAGTATGTGCAGGATTCATAACAGATTTGGTTATAGATCTCAAGGTTTCCATTATGTAAATTAAAGGCATTATAGATCTTATGGTCTGCAATCTGCGTACCATATTTCAAGGCGTCGCCCCTTCTGATCCTGGCATCCCTACAAAGCTCATTCCCAATGATGCAACACACATTTCTCAACAGAGTCTGGCCATTCTGGTCAGAGTAGACGGCATCGGCAGTCTTTTGCGTTGCGTTATTCTAAGTCCCTCGAATTTCACAAGAGCCTCAAAAATGCCAAAATGTGCTGCCTCTAGCTGTGCCGTCTTCCCGACACCCCTGTTGGCTGCTGGGGTGGTACGAAATTGTTGGTGAGCTGGGCGGCAGTATTACTTGCCCGCTTGATGAGAAAGCTAGTAACTTTTGATGTTTGATATTGTGCTTTAATAGAACTGGACTGTTGCGCATCTAGCTCAAGTGCTATCTCACTCTTTACTCTTTCGTTGTGTGCTCATTATTGCTTCTTTATACATTCATTTTCATGTTCTTGATTCGTTTCCTTGGACAAAACCTCCCTTTCACTTTATAAACTATCACGCACTCATTATCAGACAACATGCTTTTCTCACTCGTTCTTCTCACTCTTGCTCTTCAAGCCGGCCTGGCGCTCGGCGATACATCCGTTACTGTCAACATCAACAAGAAACTCCAAGTCATTGATGGCTTTCGTGTCTCCGAAGCCTACGGCCACGCCAAACAATTCCAAAATCTTGGCCCCGAGCCACAAAAACAGGGCCTGGATCTTCTCTTCAACACTTCAACCGGCGCCGGCCTATCCATCATCCGAAACAAGATCGGCTGCGATGCCTCCAACTCCATCACGAGCACCAACGCCGATGACCCCGAGAAGCAACCTGTTTTCCACTTCGACGGTGACGATGATGGGCAGGTATGGTTCAGCAAACAGGCCATGAGCTATGGAGTAGAGACCATCTATGCCAATGCTTGGTCTGCGCCTGTATATATGAAGTCAGCAACGAGTATGGGTCGTCTGTGCGGTACTACTGGTGTGTCGTGCTCATCTGGAGACTGGAGACAACGTTACGTTGAGATGATAGCCCAGTACCTCTCATACTACAAGGAGGCTGGTATTCCTGTTTCGCACGTTGGCTTCCTCAATGAAGGTGATGGCTCGGACTTTATGCTCTCAACTGCTGAGCAGGCTGCAGATGTCATTCCCCTTTTACACAGCGCTTTGCAATCCAAGGGCCTTGGTGATATCAAGATGACGTGCTGTGACAACATCGGTTGGAGGTCACAGATGGACTACACCGCGAAGCTGGCTGAGCTTGACGTGGAGAAGTATCTATCTGTCATCACATCGCACGAGTACTCCAGCAGCCCCGACCAGCCCATGAATACTACCCTGCCAACTTGGATGTCTGAGGGAGCTGCCAATGACCAGGCGTTTGCCACAGCGTGGTACGTTAACGGTGGTTCCAACGAAGGCTTCACCTGGGCAGTCAAGATCGCACAAGGCATTGTCAACGCTGACCTCTCGGCGTATATCTACTGGGAGGGCGTTGAGACCAACAACAAGGGATCTCTTTCTCACGTCGTCGATACGGACGGTACCAAGTTTACCGTGTCCTCGATCCTCTGGGCTATTGCTCACTGGTCGCGGTACATTCGCCCTGGCGCACATAGGCTTTCGACTTCAGGTGTTGTCCAAGATACCATCGTCGGTGCATTTGAGAATGTTGAAGGGAGTGTAGTCATGGTGCTTACCAACTCCGGCACTACTGCTCAGACTGTCGACTTGGGTGTTTCAGTAAGTACTTTCGCATCAGCTCAGGCTTTCACTTCGGATGCTGAGGCACAGATGGTCGACACCAAGGTGACTATTTCCGACGGCAATGTCAAGGTTACGGTCCCAGCGCACGGTGTCGTCACTGTGAAGCTCACAAGCGCGAAGAGCTCGAGGCCGGTCTCAACTGCTGTGTCTTCGCAATCTGCGTCCAAGCCCACTAGCGATAAGCACAGAGTGGTAAGCCAAAAGCACTCTTCAACAACATTCTCGATCGTCAGAACTCCAACCTCCACTCAGACTGCATCCGTAGTTGACTCAGCCAAGGCGGTAACATACCCTATTCCTCCTGCAAAGCCCAAGGGTTCAAAGAAACGCACTACAAAGAAAGGCTCGCACCGATCACACCATGCGCAGAGTGCTGCTCATCGTCGGTGTGGCCACGATAGTCACCGTCGTGGTCACTGCACCAATTCATTATTCTAGCAGGGAAATCTGGTCTTGTCGGCAAAGGCATGGTTACCTCGTCCAATTGGATAACATTCAAGCCACTCCTCAGGCTATAGGATTGCTTTCGAATTTTTCTTCAACTTGTATTTATAGTCTGCGTCCAGGATGCGCCTTGAAATATTTGTCTTTCGCTAGCCGACTTAAAAAAAGTAGCTAATTATTTTTGTATAAATGTCAAGCGCGGCTTCATAGGACATATATTGATCACTAGCCGCACACAAAGAGATCTTTGGTTCTGCCAAGAGACTTATCGACATCATGAGTAACCCCATCATTCACTATAAAGTGTCAGCTCTTCAGACACATGATAGCAATCAATCTTTATGGTTACCATGAAATCTTAGCTGTATAGATAAACGAGGGAGTCGGTAATCATTAATCTGTAGTAATCATAGAGTATTTCTACTCAGAATATGTTTTTGCTGTGTGAGTCTGGGCACTGAACCTGACCTCAAAAGTGGTCAGAGAGTTATTTAAAGCGTGACCCAAAATGTTTGATTAAAGAAATTCCGGGGAAGGCTGGTACGGCTCTATGTATCACAGCAAAGTATTGGTGCGGCTTTGATAGTATTCCAGGTAAGTCTTTACGACTGGCGCGGGTTATGGATCATGGGACTTATTTTCTTGTATAACAAAAGAGGAGACATGCTATTTGCTCGGCTGTTGCAAAGATCTCTTAGTGTAAAGAAATAGGCCATTGCGGGGAAGAGGAATCTGGGGTCGTGTCGATCAAATTATCCGATCCAATTACTCGGCATAAGCTTAGCGCCTCTTATGCATAACGTGAGAAGCTTATACTCCAATTCAGAAACGATCTTCAACGAGGTCATGGCGCAAGCGGGGACATTTCTTCATTCACAACTATAAGAAGTCACATGAATCGCACTCTTTCAATACGTGTCTATGAATCAGAACAACATATCTTCTCAGATCTTCTTTGACAATGTTATCTATACTCAGTCCCACCGCCATTCTCAGCGCTTTGGCGATTTTGCCGATCCTCACCTCTGCGTCGCCTACAGGCGCCATACCAGCTGGATCGCAAGAAGCTACCAAGAGGGGGATTAGTTGCAACTCCAACTATGAAGGCTACGCCTTTTTCTACTTCAGCAACCGTGGTGAAAACATTTATCTGGCTGCAAGCAACGGAAATAACGCTCTGTCCTTCACCGAGCTCAACAATGGGAATCCCATCTTAAAGTCCACCAAAGGCGATGGTGGCGTCCGCGATCCTTTCATCCTGAGGTCGCATGAGGGAGACAAATTCTACATCCTGGCGACTGATCTTTGCATCGGCTGTGGTACAAGCTGGGTAGAGGCTCAGCGCTTTGGCAGCCGATATCTTGAGATCTGGGAGTCAAAGGACCTCATCACATGGAGTGCCCAGCGCCATGTTGAGGTCTCGCCAGATAACTACGGCAACACTTGGGCACCTGAAGCTTATTATGATGATGACCTCAAGACTTACGTTGTCTACTGGGCGTCTGGAATCTATGACAACAAGGCAAACCCGAAACATGATCCTACCGCGTACCAGCGTATGGTTTATGCTACCACTAATGACTTTGTAACTTTCAGCAAACCCAAGATCTGGCAGGATGAACCACCGAAGGGCCGAATTGACTCAACTGTTATCAAGGAGGATGGCATCTATTATCGTTTCACGAAGGCTACTATCAATGGCTGTGCGGATATCGTGGAGGAGAGCAGTCCTTCGTTGACTGCAGGGTTGTCCAGCTGGCATCGGATAGCGAGTTGCATTGGAAAGAACGCGGGAACGAAAGAGGTGGAGGGCCCTTCGATCTTCAAGACCAACTGCAAGGATGTCAATGGTGCTAGATATATACTACTGGCTGATGAATTTGGCGGCAATGGTTATGTCCCACTGGAGTCAACCAATCTCGCTGGTGGGAATTGGACACTGCGTAAGGGGTATAAATACCCCGAGTCTCCTCGCCATGGGACCATCATTCCCCTGACTTTGAAGGAGTTGCAAGGTATCCAGAAGGCTTTTGCCAACACGGCTTGAGTGCACAATCTTCAGTAGCTGAATAGTTAGTCCTTTATGTCGAGATTCATGGAAAGGATGTAGGCACACACCTTCGAGAACCATATCTAGAAACAAGTTGACATTGTGCGCTCTGATGACCTGTGGTGATGTAGCGTTGTACTTTGGTTTACAGCAAGTCTTTGAGTGTGTAAGCGTTTTGTAGCGGGATAAGAGAGATTGATAGAAATGGCACAGAATTTAGAAAAGTGGCTGTTTGAAAGATCGAGAGACGAAATGTTGATCTCTCCAACATTGTGATGAGAGATGCAGCCAATTAGGAGCATAGCCATAGAATATTCTTATCAATCTCTCCAACATAAGCTAGTCCCTTTGCAGCCAGGTTCATTAGTCCAATAAGATGTCAGCGTTGTTGCCTCGGCGGTTACAGGGCGAATCAGGAAGAGAAACTCAGAGCTGACCAAATCAGGCTGCGGGAGGAGCGGGGTTTGAAAATCAAAGACATTATTCGAGTTCTCATCGTAAACATAACAAGATAACATTACCAGTCATGTCCAACCCGCACGAATATATAGTGGGCTGGATTTGTGCCCTACATATTGAGTATGTTGCTGCGAAAACGTTCCTCGACGAAAAACACGAGCCACCGGAGTTCGTATCAACAAATGACAACAATCTTTATACCCTAGGCAAGATTGGGAAACATAACACCGTGATCGCCGTCCTTCCCCATGGAGAATATGGCATAGCACCTGCTGCTAGCGTGGCAAGAGATATGCTCCATAGCTTCCCCAATATCAGGATTGGGTTGATGGTTGGTATTGGTGGCGGCGCGCCCAGTCCGAAGCACGATATCCGTCTTGGGGATATCGTCGTGAGTGCTTCAGACAATGGAAAGCACGGTGGTGTATTCAATTTCGATCATGGAAAGGTCATACAAGGTCAACCATTCAAGGAGTCAGGATTTCTAAATCAGCCGCCCATGATACTGCGAACAGCTGTGCAGGGACTTAGGTCTGAATATGAGGCCGAAGGGCATCAGCTTGAACGCGACATCAACGAAATTTTAGACCACAAAGGGAGACTGCGCAAGAAGTACGGAAGGCCTCAGGCGATTACTGATCGACTTTACCAACCTTGGGTGCTCCACCAGCCGCATGTTGACCCGAACTGTGACCATTGCAGCAACGATCCATCGAGCCTAATAGTCCGCGCCGAAAGGACTAGCGACGAGGATCATCCGACAATTCACTACGGCCTCATCGCATCATCGAACAAGCTGATGAAGGACGCTACCATCCGCGATGAACTTGCGAAGAAAGGTGTCCTTTGCTTCGAAACAGAAGCAGCAGGCCTGATGAACCACTTCCCCTGCCTGGTCATTCGTGGCATCTGTGACTATGCCGATACGCACAAAAATGACCAATGGCAAGGCTATGCAGCGATGACTGCTGCTGCATATGCCAAGGATCTCCTCTGTCAAATTCATCCCAACAGGGCTGTAGCTGAGGCCAAGATCAGCGAGGTACTTTCCGGTCAGTAATGATACATCGGTGGTCTATGAAAGAGATAGGTCTATTTCAATAAAGTGCCTGATATCTATGGCTCGAGAGTTCACCTACCTCAGTGTATTGGCAGCTGACATGTTGGTGATCTGATAGGCATACAAAACGAGCTCTCAGCCACAACTAGAAAGGTCAACACGATTATGCATCATAACCAAAGTCGAGAGAACAAAGATATCTTGCAGTGGCTCACTCCTTCTAATTATAGTCTTCTTCAAAGCGACAACATCGCAAGGCGCCAGCCTGGGACTGGTCAATGGTTTATCAATTCACCCGAGTTCTGCCATTGGCGGGACAGCCCTGCTCAGACTCTTTTCTGTCCGGGGATTCCAGGCGCAGGAAAAACAATCCTTACGTCAATTGTTATTGACAGCTTAGAAGCTCTATTCTCAAGCGATAAGACTGTTGGTATTGCATATGTTTATTGCAACTTTCAGCGCCAGAACGATCAAACGGCAAAAGAGCTTTTAGCAAGCCTTCTTAAACAACTTCTACAAAGTCTACCAGCCATGCCAGATAGCGTTAAGCCACTCTATGAACAGCACAGGACAAAAGGGTCACCACCATCATTAGAAGATGTCTCAAGCAACCTTCTATCTACCGCCAAACTCTTTTCGAGGGTCTTCATTATAATCGATGCCCTCGATGAATGCCGCGCAACTGATGGTACTCGGACCAAGTTCCTAGAGGAGATATTTAAGCTGCAATTACACTCCAAAGCCAATGTATTTGCCACCTCTAGGCCGATACCCGAGGTCAAAGATCAGTTCCAGACTACCATTACACTGGAAGTACGCGCTACAGACGCGGATGTTGAGAGGTTCCTCCGTGGCCACATGCCGCAAATGCCGGGTTTCTTTCGTCGAGAGAGACTAGAAGAGCTCGTTATAGGCGAAATAATTCGCTCTGTGGAAGGAATGTAAGTAACCTGTTTGTCAAGTCATAGGCTTCTCACTAAAGCTCTTAGGTTTCTTTTGGCCCAGCTTCATCTTGATTCTCTGCGTGACAAGATATCGGTTGATGCTGTCCACAAGGCTCTTGCAAAATTACCTAGCGGTTCGGATGCCTATTTTAATGCATACGAGACTGCCATGAAGCGTATCATGAGTCAATCGCCGAGTCACCGAGACTTGGCTAAACGAGTTATTGCATGGACTGTCTACGCAATGCGGCCACTTACTGTTGAAGAGCTTCGGTACGCCCTGGCTGTCGAAATTGGCAAAAGCGAGCTTAACAGGGATGCTTTACCGGAGACTAGTATAATCTTGCAAGTATGTGTCGGACTAGTCACCGTTGGCGAAAGTGACAGGATTATCCGACTCGTGCATTACACAACGCAGGAATACTTCGAGAAGACAAAAATAACCTGGTTTCCGGAAGCTGAGGAGGAGATTACAATAACCTGTGTTACGTATCTAAACTTTCAAGAGTTCAGAAGTGCAATATGTCCCACTAATAAAGCTTTGAGGAAACGGCTGGATGAAAACCCGCTTTTCCATTATGCTTCACATCATTGGGGTGATCACGCTCGGAACGCAAAAACTATCTGCAAAGGTGTTATTGAGTTTCTCAAGTCAGACTCGAATGTACAGTCATCAGCTCAGTCGTTAATGGCTTGGCGAAGGTATTTCCACAGTCAGACAGTCCCGGAAAACATGAAGGGGCTGCATCTGGCAGCATACTTTGGCAATATAACAGAAACACAAATTCTTCTTCTCGATAACGATCCTGATTTAATAAATGGTCATGGAAGAACAGCATTGTCTTATGCCGCAAACAACGGCCACCTCGCTATCGTGGAAATGCTTCTCGAGAACGGTGCCAATATTGATTTGGGCGATGATATGTTACTCACGCCATTGTCCTGGACGTGTGTGAGCGGACATACCACTATTGCTGAGATAATTCTTCAGAATCATGCTCAAGTTGATTCTAGAGACGATGATGAACGAACACCTCTATCACATGCAGCTGAGCATGGAAATACAGCCATTGTTCAGCTACTTCTTGATAATAATGCCGAAGTCGACTCCGAGGACAGATGGGGACAAACCCCTTTATTAATCGCAGTTGGAGAGGGACACGTGGACATCGTTCTTTTACTTCTTGCCAATGGCGCTGATATCGACTGGAAGGACAATGATAAGCTAACGCCTCTCTCGTATGCCGTCTCTGAGGGATACGCGAATATTGTCCAGCTGCTTCTTGACAATAACGCCGAGGTAGACTTAGAGGCCATTGACGGAGAAACACCATTACAAATAGCAGCTGAACCGCGACAGGAGACGATCATTCAGCTACTCCTTGCCTATGGCGCCGACGCCAGCCGGCTTTCCTCCACACTGCCTTCTGAACCAATCTAAGAGTTTATTTTCTAAGGATCCCTCCCAGACGTTGATGTGAGTGGGGCCTCTGCCATTACAGAATCTTACATTGAGGGTTTCGAGTGCGCATTTACTGGCATTAATATATGAAGATAATATCCCATATGTGTCGGTATACCATTTCGGTTTCAGCCTTTTGTCATACGAGATGTTATTGTGTTTTACTTGTAACATTGACATTCAGTGTTTCGCGAAGAGAAGGTGAAGTAATAAAGCTTTATATATTAACAAGCCTGGTAGAACAAACGACTTCTATCAATGATGCATGAATCCAGGATTCAGGGAAGTTACCCAAAGATGATGTGATACCACGAACAAGACTTTGCTAAGGAAGCTTGAGAGAATGGTAGGTTCCCGGAAGATGGTTGTTATTTTGATCAAATCCGAATGGGTGGCGGCATGGGCGAATATTTTGATCAAGACAGGGCTCTGGTTGGATAACTCAGTGGATCCATGGGGAAGTACTGAGGCTTCCATCCCTTGCCGTCTACCCGAAAACCTAACCCAAAGAGCGTGGTCCTTGGTGAAACATATAATATTCGGCTACCGGCACAAGATGGATTTGATTCTGTCTGACAGCAAACTATTGAACTTTATATTGCCGTTTACCGCCACGGGCGAAACCTCGGAACAGAAAACGTTTAGATATTAGCATTCACTGATTTAAGAGATATCTTAAAAACTTAAGTTAGGTCTAGAACATTTACATAAGGAAATGACTTTAGGAGCCAAGTATAACAAAGAGGAGACTCAGTATATTACCATAAGTATAGTATTTACTAATACAGCTTGCGGTTCCAGACATTAGCCCAGCGCTTTTAACCTAATATGTTTACTTTTGAAATTGTAAGTTGACTACTGTGCGCGAAATTTGAGTATACTTTGCTTTCAGTCGACTTCTTAAAGCAAAACCCCAGGTTCGCATCAGCAAACCTCCCCACAAGGGCTATACCAAGTGTAGTTAGCAGCTGTTTGCACCCTGTCAATGCTTACGAATGTCTGGAATGTGACTTATTCTGTTAGTGCATCTAGACTTGCAGAGACACCACCATTTTAGTAAAAGTCGTATTCTAAGAGATTGCAAAGGCCTCAAAACTTAAGAGTGCACCTGGATGTAGATAAGCACAATTGCTTGATTCAGGACAGGGCGCAACCCTCGTATAAGTGCGTATTTACGTATTCCATCTACCTGAATTGCATGGTAATTGCGTTCCTGATAACTGAGACCAGAGAGGCCTGAACCCTTTAAGGTAAGAATGACCTGCTGGCTAAATTCTTTACTTGTGATTTATTAGGAAGAACCGTCCAGATCCCGAATTAGAATTGGATGACTTGATATACTAGTTCTGTCCCCTAAGGCATCCAGCTTCCACTACTTCTCCTATTATTTGTTTTTCTAGCAGTACAGAATGAGACCATCGACCATCTTTGTGCCCCTCTTGGGCCTGTACGACTTGGTATTGGCATTTGACCTTGCTGAAGTCGAGAGCGATGTGTGGTGCGTCACGTATCTCTCGACCTACCTTATGCCTATTTCCAATTCAATTGCGATCAGTATGAATCCTTAGTTCGCTTTATTTGTCGCATAGTCTAACATCGTTGTAGGTACAGACATCAACAGCGCATCTACAGCAATCTCATCTACTACTTCAAACTCCTCTACCTCTGAGCCTTCGAGAGTAGAGACAAAGACAACTGAAGCTCATTCCATCTCTAAACAAATCTCCATCCGCTCTTCAACCCTGGCCACTACCGACCAGCTGAACAGCTCTCAAATACAAACACTCTCTTCCACTACTCTGAGCACGACAGATCTATTAACTAGCTCTATAACACCGACAAGCTCAACCACTGCCAGCTCAGATTTTACTGCAACATCAACCCCCCAACCCAGCGGCCGCTCAATCATTCTTCAAATTCAACCGCCCACCACCAACCGCAGACGCAACATCAAGGGAGCACCAGTTGGTGGTTTTGTTGGAGGCTCTAAAGTCTGTACGTTTGCGTTAGACTTCACCCTTAGTGTGGAAGGGCAGCTGCTTGCAGGAGGCGTGCCTGTCTTTTACGCCGGTGAAGATTTTAAACCACTGTCTGAGCAGAAACCTATCGGCAACAGTGGCAATATCATCACCAAGACTTTCACAGAGTCTAACGGGGTACTCGTTTTCAAGAACTCTAGTCTCCCCACCGGTGAGGCAGGCTTCTGCCAGACCTCTAACGGTATAGTTTACATAACCTTTTCCAGCCAGCCATCTGGCTGTGTTCCAGTTGCGCTTCGTATTTATGAAGTACAGCAATGTCAAAATGGTCGAATAATTGATCGTTCAACTACAAGCTCCTCTGCTACAAGTACATCCGAGGCAGCTTCGTCTGGAGCAACTCCATCAACTACTACGATCCAAAGTGAAACAACGGCCCCATCTTCGGAGTCGACAGAATCTAGAGAGTCGGCTACCAGCACAGTGATTAGTTCGACTTCATCCTCCTCGACCAATACTACCCCACTATCAGCTACTGTATCTAGTGACTTGAGCTCAGAGGGAAGCCCGTTAACTACACTTGAATCGACGTCTGAAATAACTTCACTGGTGACAGACACAACCATCCTCACAAGCACAGAGAACGCTACCTCAGACGACATAAGCAGCATCCAATCTTCCACAGAAAGCCCTACCTCCAGTGCTACTACAACCGACAGCTCAAGTACTGGTGACACTGCAGCCATCAGTACTATGAGCTCCAAGTTGAGCTCAATTTCCACTAGCTCAACGACAACAAGCTCAGCTTCTGACTTAGCCTCAACCTCAACTACAAGTTCAATTCCAGCAAGCTCAACTTCTAGCTTAACTTCCAGCTTGACTACAAGCTCGACTACAAGCACAACAACAGACTCCACTTCTGAGTTAACTACCAGTTCGACTTCTGACTCGACTTCAAGCTCGACTGACATGACTACAAGTTCCGCGTCTAGTTCAGACTTTACTACGACTTCGACTTCTAGTTCAGACCTGACTACAAGCTCAGCTTCTACTGCAGACTTGACCTCTACAGATTCAACGAGCTCAAAAACTTCGTCAGAAACTTCAACAACCACCTCAGCTGCCCCATCATTGGTACAAGACGGCGGCTTTGAAGATAACCCAAACACAGCATGGACTTTGTCAGGCAGCGCCGCTATTGTCAACAATCCTGGTATGGCTCTCTCAGGCAACCAGTATCTGTAAGTCACATTGTGAACGCTGCACAGTCAAGAACCCTTTTTAACATGAGTTCACTAGTCAATTGTCCGTGGTCAACGGGCTTCCCTCGGCATCAGCCTCCCAGACTGGCCTCGTCTCGTCACCCAACTCCATGAGTCTCTCCTACGTGGTTATGGACAGCCCTACACCCTCTGGCGTTTCCCAGTGTAGTTTCAGGGTAATGACAGCCGGCAACCTCGTGGCCGCTTTCGACGTGAATACGACTCCGGACGTTTGGCAGTCAGAGAGTTTCGGTGTCTGGGGCAGCGGTTCCTCCTGGACGATCGAGCTGTATTTATATTGTTCCCAAGGGCCAGCTACTTTTGCTATTGGTGTTGATAATGTAAGCATTCAGTAGTCATAATATCATAGTCATTATTCTACTGTAAGCCAAAGTCACAGGGTAGAGTTAGCGCTGTTTCAAATTCTACCTTTTACATAATATACAGTTCATTTACTGTGCCAATGCTTTCTACTTTATCTCGGCTGTCTATAGATCGATTAATGATTTGTAGGTTATGTCGCATAAATACGACGCATTAGGTCAACCGAGCAGCTGAATTACCCCCAAGTTGAGGCAGACCAACTTCCTCCAATTTTGGCAATCAGAGTTCTGTGTCGTCGCCTAAGTAAGTACATTATGCGGCCATATTCACAATACCATGGAATGACCTCTTGCAGGTGAACTGAGTGGATATATGTAATCAAGAGAAAGATATAATTTACATAAGTATATTGAGTAAAGTCAAGTAATAAATGTGCGTCAATAATATGGAAAGAAATGGATTGTCTACAGGAAAATCAGCGGGACAACAGCTAAGAATGCCATGCCCAGGCCAGTCAACCCAAGCTCCCGACCGGCTCCCGACACGGCGAATGGGACATCTGAAGTTCCTTCTTAGATCTTAGTAAGGATACAGTGAGAAAGGTGAGATTCGAGGGTAAAGAAACATACCGGGAGAGACAGCCTCAGAAGTATAAGTGCCAGAGGTTGGCCTGACACTTGACTCAAATCCGTCATCAGTTCTTGTAATCTCCGGCTCGGCGTTTCCTTTATTGGACTTCGCATCCTGTCCACCATTCTGACCGCTCTGGCTACCGCCGTTGCTATCGCCATTGATACCACTGTTGTTGCCAGTCTGGCTACCATCGTGACTTCCATTCTGAGCGCTTTTGCTACTGCTGTGGCTGCTACTGTTGCTACCATTCTCTTCTCCGTTCTGCCCGCTACGGCTGCCGTCGTTGCTACCAGCCTGTCCGCCACTTGGACCGCCGCTCTCGGCACTGATCTCGCCAGGCTTCGCAGGCATCAGTGTGGGGCGAGCACCGCCGTTGATGTATGGGTGCCCATTGACTGGGTACGTGATAGTGGCAGTGATGGGCTCAGGACCACATGTAGTACACGTCTGCACATCGCAAGTGAATCCGAAAGGAATAGATTGAGACTCTATGGTAGGCTGGGCCTCCATTCCTTTATATGTTTCTGTAATAACGTACTTTTGTTCGTAGAGCCCCGTAGAGCAAAAGGCTGGGAAGTATGTCGTATACTCAATTGTGTTTATGCAAGTCTTGCATCCGCAATCGCACTCGGGGGCCTCAACCTCGACGATGATAGGGCCTCCAGAGATCTCTGGATATTTTATGATGCAGGTCGGACCCAGGACCTCGAGGTCGACGGTTCGGGTCAAGACTTCGAGGGAAGCGCATTGGGTTATTGTTGCTGTGGCCAGGACATACTGAACAGCATTGTCGGCTGCCCCAACGACAGTGGCGAGGGCCAGGGTGGCGAGGGAGGAAAAGTGCATCATGCAAATGTAAGCAAACAATTGGCGCCAAATAGCCACAGAATGAGGTGAGATACAAAGGGAAGAGACATAGACCGAAGGAAGAACAGGCTATGTTTTAAGGGACTTGATGGAATCCGAGAGTCAAATCCGCAGAAAAAGCAAAGGCCTACCTGGCTTGTAAATTGCGCTGCAATTTCACAGCGAACCCCAAGTCCCAGCACAGGTTCAATATTGTTTCTACAAAAAGCCATGTGAGCTACTAGTCTTGAGTCAATAGCACTACCCTAGCTAGATACCCCAACACACAAAGCGCCACTTTCTGCCATACGAGGAGCTGTTGTGCTAAAGCTTAAACTTGCAAGTCTTAATCTTCGTTCGTCTACTAGTCACTGACAGAATGAACATAGTACCCTGCAATCCACTTTTAAATTATTAATTGTGGACTTCAAGAAACTACCAATGACTATCCCGTGAGCAATCGGAATTCTTTTCAGCGCTAGAGGAAGAAGTGAGTCGTAAAGCGAGTTCGCCTGTTACTACCGTGTTCAGACTGGAAGTCTAGACCAGCGCTTTACCCGAGAGGAAAACAGACAGAATTCAAGACTCTGTACTCTGTGCCTAGTGAGTTTTGTGGCCTCTCAAGACTCTAGTCATAATTGGTTTAAGCGAGCGATACCGTCTGTATTTGTGGCGTGGACTGTTTTGGGTAACAGCACCAAATCTACTGAAGCTAACTGCTTCAGATAAAACGGAGGAGAAATTTCGCTTACGAATCTCAACGGGCCTCCATTCAATAGTTCCAACGGCATTCCATTCCTCTTAGACAATTGCAATCCGAATTTTATTCACGGCAGATAAGTAACTTGGCTATCATGTCTAAACGCGCTCGCTCGCGATTAGGCAGATTGATTCATAAATACAGACAGCATTAAGTTTCAGTCCAGCTTCTAGGTAACTAACTATTTGTTGCCCTATTTTAACGTGCCTTTAGTGTTGCTGGGGTTGTAACTCTGTGCAACGGCAAGAAGATGCCGAACTACACTTGATCACATATCTATTGCCCTGAAAATCTCGTAAACTTATCACTGCTTGGCCTGGAAATCCCTCAAGGGTACCATTCCCCATAATTGTTTCAGAAACGCCAAAAAGCCCCTCAGGTTCTATTGTTGTGACCCAATTTGGCGTCAAGTGCTACATCCTACAGTTTTCCTTGGAGTTATAGCAGAAATGTAAGTTTTACTGGATATTGATACTTTCAAACCGATGGAACGGCAATACTCCACATAGCTCGAACTGGTCAAGAGGCTATTACATACCTGCTTCTCAACAGCGGTATAAAATAATAGGGAACACTCCGCCATGGTTTCCAGCTCCTTATGGGCACGAACGATATATAAAGCCGTTACTTGCGAACAATATCAAAGCGGATATAATGAGTTCTCTACAGAGGAACTCACTGATGTATGCGTCTGAGAACGGACGTGACGGTGTAATTCGTCTACTCCTTAAAGCATGTGCTGATGCAAATTGTCAAGGTCATTAGCTCTACACACGACTATGGGATACAGTAGCCATCGATTGCATTGCCGCAGTCCTGTTAAGATTTATATCTGTTCTTGATTTAAGAAAAGGATAAAACTTATAGACATGCGACTACGTATAAGGTGATCCTGACAGACATGGGGTCGGACTAAGGATATTCCTGACTTCCAACAGGTCCAACCACTCCTTAAAAATGGGGCCAGTTCCAACTTCAAGTCCATCCGTTTATAAAGTGGCCGCTGTCAATAGCCTCCAAATGGGAAACCCGGCAATGATCAAGCGGCTGGTCTAGTACGGCGCTCAAGTCGACTCAAACGAGGGTCAGGACAAGTTGCTACGAAAATATGCTGCCCGCGTTCCTATGCTTCTGCTACCTCTCAATTATAGCAAGCAAGTCGACTTGAGAGATCTCTGGCGATAAACCCGATAACTGCATTTTGCTAAACATGTATATCAGAAATTAAGATTCTTGTTAAGAATAGCAGGAATTTTCACTTGAGAAATGGCTCCGAGCCTCCAACCGCGCCCCAATGGCATGGGCAGTCGATCGAGCCCTTGGAGGGGTCTCCCGATGACCTAGAAAGATTGCAAGAGCCTGATCCATGCCTACCAAATAAATCTCCCTGCCTCGCTTTTTCCGGAACTGTCCTGATAGGAAGATTTAGGTGGAGATCTCTCCTTGAAGATATTATCAACTATAACAAGAGGTTGTCAAGTCTCAAGCGTTTACATTAAGATAACAGTACATTGTCTGCCGGCATCCTTTATAAAACACGAACTATTCGGTTTTTTATGTTAATGTTACTTCCTTGTGTTATTTAGTAAATGTAATAAGTGCAGTTTAAGTCTTCTGTAAGGACAAGGTCGTTGGCACTGCGTTACACTGCGTTGCCGTAGTAGCTGACTCATTGGCCCCCGCCTTAACACGTCTGACGCGTGAGACTGTATTTGTGAAGATTGAAAATTTCAGTCGAGGCCTCAACTCAACTTAACTCATCTTGTGCAGCATCTTGCGGAAGCAACATCGCCACAATGAACCCGTTCAGACTACTCCGCGATCAGGAGCCAGATCCTCCTCAGTACTATTTCACCCTCCCGGCTCTCGAGGACTCTATCCGCCGACCGCCATGCCCGTGTTCCGACTGCCAGGATGGTTTCTACCCAGAGAATGCACAAAAGAGCCCGGAGCACTCCTACCGCCAAAGACTTTTGAATGCTGAAGCAGAGATTCGCACTCGCTCTTTTGTAGACGATATTCAGCAGAGCAGAAGCCGACTGAGCGAAAAGATTCAAGTCTTTGGTGACATCCTGATAACCAAGTGGAAGAAGCAGAGCCAAGCCAAGCGAGAGACACTGCTCAAGGAGGCAGCGCCCGACCTTGAGGCGCAACAGTGGCTTCTCCCGCGATACAACTACATGCGCGAGAAGTACTACATCCTTGACAGAAAGACGAAGCGCAGACGCCAACTCCTACTTCCCTGGCTCAACGTACACGTCCTCAAGACCAATCCTGCCGTGCTCTTTGCTCTACTCCACTACAGGACGGCCTACCCTCCGCAGTCCTGGGCGACCTTTGACAGCAATCAACTCAAAGTCAGCTGGGCAGCTGGGTACTTTGATGTCGACTTCTCTGCCAAATGCGTCGTGATGCATGGAGATCGATTTGGGTCACTGGTGGATTGGGAAGCAAAAGCCGCGCACCGTGGTGATACTCTCGGGTACCCCAGAGCGATACTAATTCTCGAAGCACAGGCGCATCTTCTCAAAACTCTCTGCAATATCGTCGACAAGATCCTCGAACGCGTAGACCCTCCGCAACAGCCACGAACTGAGAACTGGCACGACCTCGTCAGCCGCGAAGCCTTCAAAGAGACAGACGCCATTGAGTTCTGGTCTCCCTACATCAACCAAGCTTTTTCACGTCCCCCAATGTTCAACTGCGATTACCTAGTCACGCTCGCAAAGTCTCGCTTGGAGGAGACTGGCGATCACCTATGGTACCTGCAGTGCGACAGCGATTACATGCGACGACATGTCAAGATCTGGTTCGCAACTGAGGCCTTCAAGAAGGCGCCAGAGCAACAGAGAGCTATGATGCTTACACAACGTATCGTTCTCGAGATCGAAAGTCACCTTTGGTGGCGATGGATCGAAATGGAGTGCGACAACGTGGAGGGTGTTCGCAGGCGATTCAGCGACAATATTTATCCCGGGATGCCCTTGCCCCCAAAGTATGACAAGGCTCTGGGTGCTCTTGAGCTTCTGCTCGTCAACCAGGTCAATTTCAGAGCCGAACTACTTGGGAAACTACTGCCTCTTATGCCAGGCATGCAGAAACACTGGAAAATCGACCGCAGCTACGCTTCGTCCAAGACATTGGGCCTAGTGAAACGCATCACGATTCCCAATACCCAGGAAGCACTTACCAACGACCCCCTCGACTGGTGCCTTGTTCAACTACAGGGAAAGCCTGACACTCCGCTGACTTTCGACCATGCCATGCTCTTCGCCATGCTCCGGGATCATTTGTCCAATAATGCTTCGGAAGGGAAGAGGTTGGACGAGATCACGTACCAGATGCTCTCTGACCTATCAACATGTCACGAAATGCTTGTTGCAGTCCGTTCGCATAGGCCTCAAACCACCTTGGGAACACTTGATGAAGTAATTGCCACAGAACATCGCGGGTTTTGGAAAATTCGTCGGCCACTTACGATCAATGAAGAAGTGTTCAAAAACATCGGAACGGCTTTTATGCAAGACTTCTACGGTGTGAAGCCACCAACAGGTTCAAAAGGTTCTGAGAGCGCTACACAGCTTCGAGCTCTCTCTACTGGGGTGGAGACGTTTTGGGGATCAATCAGGGCATATGTGAGAGAAGACTTGACAAAGAGCGATACTGCCTTCAGTTCGGAAGAGGTTGGGGACCTTCTTGGCGTGGTTTCAGCACACCTCAGTCGGGAGTATATCCAGGAGAAACGACGGGCTGAGGCTGAGATCCTTACTGCAACCAAGATCGCAGACAAAGCCACCCCCATTGATGGAGGCTTCAACGCAGGTTCCGAGCCGAGTGTCGCGTCTACCACGATAGAGCAACGCCGAGAGAAGGTCAAAACACGAGGAGAGCAGGGGTCTCCTGGCAATGATGTCACGGAGTCACAAGCTGAAGATGTAGGAGAGGTGACTAAAGACACTGTCATTACATTGTCGGAAGATGCACTTGGGGTCATTCATCTCATGTTTCCCAACAAGGACCGTGCTGCCAAGGATGTCACATGGAATCGATTCGTCGACATGATGACCAAGGCGGGCTTCACAGCAAGGAACAACACCGGGTCGGCGGTGTCTTTCAAGCAGGTGTCTGGCTCTGGGGCGGGAGGGAGTATTGTTTTCCACAAACCGCATCCTACTGACAAGATTGATCCGATTCTGTTGCGTATCATGGGGAAGAGAATGGCGAAGTGGTTTCATTGGAA